AGGAAGAATCGAGAAAGCCCAAATATCCCTTTCCAGTATCATTTTTCAGAGCGATAAATCTGCTACGGCGGCTATATTGTTGGCGGAAGTCTAGACTTGATAGACTTCATAACTTAGGAGATTAGTCCTTCCAATGGCTTGTGACGTGAAATTCTCAAACTACGACTTCGGAAAAACAACGATGCATTAAGCACCACTCGCTTGTTTGGTTCGGTTCGATTCGACTCGACTAATCTCACGATACTACGTCTTAGGAACATTTTACACGAATACTTCGATTTAACAAACTGGTATCCTATAGGGAAGAACGCGGCGTCTGCACGTTTTCATGCACCAAGCTCTTCGACGCAATCATGCATTGCAGTTTGAAGCCCAACTCCCTGGGCAGCTTCGCCTGATTCAGTCGTAGTCCTACATAGTTCGCCTGAGTCGCGCACATCGGCTATAGCACGGCAAGATATGTATCTGTATATGCGTTGGAGGCAGACTCGCAGGAGCATATGAAGTGCATGTGAAATGATACTATTATTAAGACTTTGATGCTCTCTTGTTCTTTGAAGTTCTAAAGCGTATCTTTCGTTAATAATAGTATCCCTAGCAAAATAGGAGCACAGAATCAGACAACGATAAAAAAATAAAATAAAACCAAAACCCCCCAAAACTATTAGTTATGTAGGATCTAAAGTGCAACGGGATAGATATTTGTTCCCTTTTAGTAATCGAAAAGGTATCGTATCGTATTGCGAGTACGGTAGAATGGATCATCGGGGAAGCTCACGTATCCCAGCCGGGAAAACAGTACCGTTTCTCTTGGATTGGCTATTCCCGCCGGCCACCACAGACGATCGCCCAATGGATAGGTACAGTCCTGGACTAGGCGCATGTATGCCAACAAATCAGTAGATGCATTGACGGCTGAGTTTGAGGCTTGTGTCCAATTGGACTATTACATAGTAGATAATACGTATTGTAGTTTTGAATTACGATATTTCATCGTATGATTCGTGAGGGATAGTAGGAACGTAGGGACGGGAAGCTAACAAATCGTTCGCGATAGAGCATCAAGTGACCATAAAATGACAACAAATGGATAGGGCGAAAGGGCGACGATGGTATCGGAACTAACCGTCTTGTGTTCCAAGAGGCATGCATGGTTTGCGCATCAGGTGTGATTGCAATTACATACCTCTTTTTTTTTTGTTTTTTTTTGTCCGTCTTTTTGAATCTATCATGCAGAATGCACGGGAGAAATGTCTACGATGGATATTACGGCACTGCTACGGTAGTAGTGTAATGGTGTTCACGCTTCCATGGTTCGAGGTTCATGGATTAGTTTGCCAATGGGGGGTGTGGGAGGGAATTAGGATATTACCATTTACATGCCATTGACATACTACTATTTACTATCTATTACATATGTCGAATATTCTATCCAATGCCAAAAGTACATACGTACGTATTGTAGGTGGAAAAAAATATCAAATCATACCTTACCTCATAGTATACATAGTATACCACATGTCCCACGTTACCGGAGGCGTTGTCGAAGTCGACTAGGACGAAGCTACTTTACCTACCTAGTAGTATATTCCAACTCGTAGGTATCCAACCAGAGTTCTTCATATTCATCTACCTCACTATACCTCACTATACTAATGCCAATTACCAATACCAATACCGATACCAATACCAATACTAATAACAATACCAACACCAATACCAATACCATACAGTCCCCCCTACTGCGTACGGTAGCAAACACGACGTGTCGTGTCGTGCAACTGTACGCCCTTCTCAACACGAGCGATTCTCTCGCATCTGATTATCCCAAGTAGGCAGAGGCGATCAATGATCAAAGCAATAATTGAGCCATGCTAGGTGTGATGTGGCTTAAGGCGGCAACGAGAAGCGGTCCTATGAGAGCTGGATATTCTGCCTGGCTGAAAAGGGAACCAATTGGCCAGTCTTCCGAATCGAGGGTACAGCGTCTTAGTTGACGATGCTCGCTGCGAGGTTGGTGAAAGAGGTATGTATTATGTAGAGTATGCATGTATGTATGTAGAGAGAAAAATACATAGGTAGGTTAATGTAGGGGGGCACATTGGAGGAGACACTAATAACATTGAAGCATGTAAGAGGTATGTACGAATATGTAGACTCAATCCTAATTAAGCGCATCCAATACTTCAACTTCGTACAACCATTAATACCTACCTGTAACTAGTAACTAGTGTACCTACAATCGTGCTTTCTCCATTTCTTCTCTTCCTTCCAGACTACCAGACTACTTCGTACATACATCAATAGTAATAGCAACTACATAACATAATACCTTTTTACCTTCCCTCTACGTACGCACGATCATTTTCAAATGCACATAGTATGCCGATGTGTACCGCGCTATGTACGAATGCAGGTATCGTTAGGTCCGGTAGGCAAGTCTCGTACGAACATAGTATGTACACGTCGAAGATCCAAGTCCAGAAAGTTCATTACCCTAGATCCGTAAGGTAGACGTGCAGCTTGGTTAATACCTAAGGTACATACGTAGCCAAGGTGGGTACTTACTGTGACTTGGGATTTGTTTCTTCACCTGCCACAAATCATTCTCAATGCCTTCCCCCCTGCTAAGGTCCGTGCTTGTTACTGCATACCTATGTACACTAGGTAGTATGTAGAACCCTTGGTGGCTAGCGCCTAGCCAACAGCTACGTAGCACGCGTATCTAGCGGACGTGTCTAACCCCTTGCGGTACTAATACCCTTAGGCACTGGGCACCGCCATACCCCTGACTCCCTTAGCAATACCGTATATCTGAATACTCATGCACTTTGCTCCTCATTAAGGCGTAGAACTCGTTTGTACAGTTTGTACATGTACCTCCTGTTTTTCACTTACATACAATACATGCCCTGACTCCTGCGTGTTCAAGGACCGACTCGCTCATGTCGCGACGAACGATATTTCTATCCTACTGATTGATTTACTAAAGAATTGATGAAATGATTTGATCGTTTGAATTTCTTTCCTCCTCCCGCTCTTCTAAACTTGGTATTTACTTTCCAACCTCGCCCTTAGTCTCGAGAGCTTTTCTCTTTTCTCCCCTTTTCTTGTCTTCTACATATCTCTACCTCCCCAATTTCTACTTCTCATCCTTACTGACGAAACAAAAAAAAAAAGACGCCATACTCGATTCGTAGTTGGCTTCTCCTCCATTGAACAGGAATCTCCGCGAACTCATCCTTCATCTTTCTTGACCGCTTGTAGGAAGGGAAAGAGAAAAAAATTTATAAACCAACTCGTGTCCACGTGCAAAAGTCTTAAGAGGGGCAAAGCAACTCTGAATTTAGTACCTAGCGGTGGATCTCAAGCTTGTTGTGAGTGTGTTCCTCTTATCCTGTTATCATCCTATTCATATTTTTTTTCCCGCCTTCCTCTTATTTTTTATTTTTTTATATTATTAGTATTATTATTTTTTTCCTCACTTATCATTGTCCGACGCGTTACCGGAACGCACGCCCCTTTCCTGATTAAAAAGGAAAGAATTCCCTTAAGAAGCAAAAATTCTATTCTTGCCACGCTTTAGCCCTGAAACTTACCATTACCATACATCAGCAGTGTCAGCTCAAGGTACCCTCATCTCATCTATCTATCTACCTAGGTATCTACAATACCCGCTCCTAAGCCTGTCGCATCCACCGGTTTTCCTGTTTGATTTTTATTTACCTACATAGGTATTTTTATACCCTTTTTTCCCTCTTCCACACCAAAGAAAAAAACCCCAAACCCAGACTTGACACCACCCACCCACTTTGAAATTTGACTTGCAGTTTGCATGCATCAAAATCTCGACGAGTCACCGTCATCCATTCATCACGGCATCCACTCGTCCGCCGCCAATTCACTACATCCACTACCCACCAACCGACTAAACGGTTCTTTTCGGCACTCAAACCCACTTTTCCTTTTCAGGCGTATTTTTGTAACTTTGTACCCTGGATATGCTGGTTTACCTAGGTACTAGGCGAGACACGCGAGTTTGATTTCTGACAAGGGACTAGTACTCAGGCGAACCAAAATAATAAAACCGACCGAAACAAAAAAAAATTTACCACGGTTCCTTCCCTGTTAAGAAGGGGGGTATTTGTGATTCGGTTGAAATAAGAAGTCGCGACCACCACACCTCTCACCTCGAGGAACGTGGACCCAAATTCTCCACTTTAGAAACACCATTTGGACCCCATCAGTCCCATCTTCTGCTGCTGGGTTTGGAGCCTCACGAACTACTTTCGTCCACCTGCTCCATTCAATCCCCAATTCTACCCCAAAAACAACCTTCCCCTCATCGCCGCTTAATTTTTTATTTTCCTTTTTTTGCCCTGCGGCATCACCATTGTCGACCTTGCCCTTGCGCGATAATCCATTATCCGCACTGGCGTCAATATTTGCATCCTCAGGTCGGGTATTAGGCGTGGAGGAATTTTCAGGACCCTTAGGTCACCGTATTCGGTTTTCTGACCTGCGACACCTGTCAGCATAGCATCCAACGCCAACGCCAACGTCAACGCGTTCGCATCATTAAAACCTTCCCCGCCGTCGCGCGCATCACCATCATCACGTTCGCTACGTGTAGGGTTTTAATCGGTTTCGATTGAGCCTCGGACAAAGAAGGGAAGAGGTGGAAACTAGGGATAATTGTAGCACCACGAGACCTAGGATTGCTTCATCTCGAGCAATCGTGGCCTCATTTGCAATTGCCACTTGGACAGGATATGGACAGTGGCTCAAACCAAAACCCGTACTCGTCTAATTCCATAAACACATCAGGATCAACCTACCCTTCGCCAGCGGCGATCTCCCCTAATCAATTGCAACACGCGTCCATCCAGCACACATTGCCGCCTTTGCAGCACAACGCCTCTGCTATGCAATCCATTTACGGCAGCCATCCTCACACCCCTAGGACTCCAGGCACCCCTAATACTCCTCAGCCGCCTAACATGAGTCAATACCCGCCCCCCAACTCAGGCCCTACGCGTGGTTCTTATGGTATGATGCCTAATCAGTATCAACAACCTCAGCAGGGCTACCCAACATCATCTTCGATGATGCCGCAAGCTTCTGTCGCGGCTTCTCACCCACAGCCCATCGCGCCAGCTCCTGCGGCAGCGCGACCTCCTGTTCTTCGTCCCATGCCCGCTGGCGGAGTTATGCCGCAGACTGGACTGCCATCTCCTTATAGTGGAAGTCCAATGATGCAGCATCAACAATCTCTACTTCAGCAGGACAACGACCAACCTACGCATGTAGTTGGCTCGCAAGGACGCCGTGGTATATTACCCAGCGCTCCGGGAAGACCCGCTGCCCCGACCGGTAGTGGTGCATCCAAGAATACGGTAATCCCGCAGAAAGATGCAGACGGGAAATTTCCTTGCCCCCACTGTACAAAGACTTACCTCCACGCGAAGCACCTTAAACGCCACCTTCTCCGCCGTGAGTTTGACCGGTCCACAACGGTAATCCCCACTTTGCTAACCTTATTTAATAGACACCGGCGACCGCCCATACATGTGCGTGTTGTGCCGTGATACGTTTTCGCGAAGTGACATCCTGAAACGTCACTTCCAAAAGTGCTCGATTCGACGAGGAAACCCTACCGGGGTGAGCCATTTGTCTCATCCCCAAGCACACGTTAAGAAACAGCAGCAGAATGCGCAGAAGGCTAACGAGGGTGATATGGGACATATGAATGGCATGACTAACATGCCAGGTGATAATGTCGTCCACCCTTTCGGTATGGTCCAGATCCAAGATGGTATGGGAAACATGGCCAACGACCAGAATCAGCTTTCTAGATCAAGCAGTATGAGTCGGATGGACGAGAACGGTAACCGGGATCGGAGAAGCATGACCGGCGGCTACAACGGCGATGTGTCGAATTCGATATCTTCGAATATCAACCCTCAGTTGGCCAACTTCACCATGCCCCAGGGCCAAAATGGCATGCCCATGTATGGAGCTTCTGGCTCAAACCAACAATCTGGCCTTGACTGGTCCCAGATGTTTCCACAGTCTGGTGCGCACCATGCCTACGTCAATCAGTTCCCTCCTAATATTGGACAGAATCAGACCGCAATCAAAACCGAGCCTAACCTTCCTTCCGAAAGAACCAGTGGCATGCCAGGCATGGCCCCGAACGATGTGAACGACCGATCGCTTTTTTTCTCGAATTGGGGCATGCAACCGTCGGCGCACGACCCTTACCATCGACTCTCTTCGCAAATCCTCAACTTTTTCCACCCTCCCGGCACGGTACCCTCCAACCACACCGCCGGCCTTAACGACTTTTTTTCTCCTGTCAACATTAGAGACTTTCTTGATTCATACATCCATTTTCACTTCCATTTTTCATTCCTCCACATCCCCACCTTCCGTATCATGGACGCTTATACGGGTCTCATAGCCGCAATGTGTTGTATCGGCGCTTGTTACTCTGATAATGCCGCATCTTCAAACGTTCGAGAGATAACAAATTTTTTAAAGATAGCACTCGAGCGCGATTGCGACCTGCTCGGTAGCAACGAAGCGCAAGCCGGTCTTAAGTTCGGCAATGGCAGAGACAGAAGGGATATCGAGCGGTTACAGGCACTTATTCTAATGTCGTCGCTTCTTATTTGGAACGGCACACCTGTCCAGCGCGAAAGTGCTAGGAGAATCTTTCCTCTGGTGGTGGATATTAGCCGAAGATTTGATCTGCTGCAAGTCAGAAACGACTCAGCCTTATACAGCATTTTTCATCAGCCAAAAATATCGTTGGAAGATCTGAATCCCGGACAATTTGATTGGGCGGCGTGGGTCGAACAAGAGTCGCGCATCCGAGTGATGCATATGATATATCTTCTCGATGTTGCGCGTACCCTTTACTTCAACTGCGAACCTCAATTTGATTCCTTCGAGATTCGTGTCCCTTTGCCTGCAGACGATGCGGTCTGGGAAGCACAATCCGCAGTTGATTGCGCGCAGGGATTAAATTTATATGGATCTGACGCGGCGAGGAGACAAAACCCAGATGGATCACAGCGCAGCAAACAACCAGAGTTAAATCTAACGCTCGCCGCCCTCTTCCATGGATCATATCAAATACATCCAGGAAGCACCAACTTATACGGCAAGTTCATATTGATTCACGCCATCATTTCTCAGATTCGGCGTGCTCAAATCGAGGGCCGTGTTGCTGCGTTGGATGGTTCTGCCACACCTCTTTCACAGAATGATTGGGTTATCTCCAATGGATCAGATACAGGAAGTGGTAATGCAAGTGCCAACAATAGCACAGCTGGTACACCGGTGGCTGGGTTTTCGGCTCAAACGTATAAGACTCTCTGCACTGCGCTTGATAAGTTTAAGTCGTACTGGGATATGGACATGGCGATCCAGTTTCCTCCTTCGGTCTCTAATCCTCGACGATACGGCTTCTGTCGTGATGGAATACACTTTTTTTGGCTTGCAAAATGGATGCTCAAGAATACTACGGTGGCGGATTTGCAGTTGGCCCCGGATAGTCGATTTAAGCAGGTTATTGAACTGCTTAAAACTGTGAAGTCGTGGGTCATGACGGACGGTGCTTCAAGAGGCGAAGAACTCGGGTCTGTAAGCGATATCGACAACGACTTCGCCGTTACCAATCTTACTCTAGACATGACGCAACTTTTCAAACCTTTGCCGTCAGTTGTGGAGTCTCCTGGCATGCCCGCTGTTAAAACGGAAGTTTAAACAAAAAGGCGACTATTTAATCCACCAAAGATCAACATAAAAAAAAGCATAAATATGGCGTTCCGTTGATGTTTTATATTTCCTTGCTTTTCCTTTTTTATTTAAGGCCTCATAAAAAGTTTCGATTCTTCTCTCTGCATCGGATCGGGTTGACGGCGGCAATTTCTCTGCATTTTCCGGGTTGGCTCACAACAAACTAGACTGGCTGTGGCGTCTGCATTTACCTAGACTCGATGATTAGATTCAGGCCAGCTCAAAAAGCAGGTCGCACAAAACCCCCCTTGGGAGGTGATTATGATGTTTACGTCTACACTGACCGGTTAACAATTCCTGGAGTGGTCTCGTTTCTTGTGGTACGCATTATTTCATAGGGGTGGCATTCAAGCAAAGTGTGAGGGTAGGAGGCGGACTCATTGCAGCATGTTTTTCTTCAACTGATGTTTTACGGGATGAGATAGATTACAGATCAGAACAATTAAGTATATGGTTTCCATTGTTCACGTCCCTAAGACCCGAGTGAAAAGCGAAACCTGTTGTTTCGTGAATGACTACCTAGTAATAATATTCGGAAGATTACCTATGTATATCTTGATGCCGTAGACTTTCATAATTGGAAGAATTTCTCTAAATAACTAGGTAACTACTTTGTATTCATTGAAACTCTTTCAAATGGTGTTTATATTCAGTAGCAACGACGGTGTTACATTAAGCTTGTTAACCAACTAAGATTGCTATTCTTGATTTCTTCCATCATTCACGGCATGCTATGGTGTCCATAGATACCTAAGGTAATTGTGTAATTAGTTACATAGTATATTCGGAAGCGTCTTATTCCCATTTAATTTTTCCCCTCGCTAATACCAAATAGTTATGCATAAATTTCCCCCGCATAGTCCTTGGGCACGCTAGAATTTGGAATTGTTCCATAACCACAGAACAAACCCAAGCAGTTCAATTAAGGTAGTGGACTGAGTATAAGAAACTGGGTATAGAAAAATGACCTGTCACATGGGAAGTGGAACCTCCCCCCCTGGCCAAACAACCCAATCGTCTAGATTAGATCACGGGCAAGGCGGCGACAATAGTGTAGCTCTCTGTGTGTATGTATGTATGCACGTCGCGGGGTCTTTGCTCCCTCGGGATAAAATGTCGAGGCTAGGATATGTATGATTATTATTCTTATTTTTTTCCTTGCTAGACTAGGTATACATACTATGCTATGCTATACTATACTATCGTCGACGAGGTACCGCCAAGTAGCCGTAAGTATCGTTTTTCGCCTCCCTGATCTCCTACCTACCTACCTACCTACGCTCCTAATTTGCCTATAGGAACGACTAGCACGGCACGGCACGGCACGGCACGGTATGGCATGGCATGGCATGGCATATGTACGTGAGGTGTGTAGTGTATAGCAGGTAGGCAGGCCAGGCAACGCTGCTGTATACACACGTTGTCGTCGAGGATAATAGCGTCCCGGGCTGGGGGCGAGGGTGTCTGTCGACCGTGGTAATCGTTTCTGGGTATTTCGGCCTTTTTGCCCGCCCGTGGGGTCCGCCACGTGGGTAGCGGCTATCCCAAAGTTCACGTACCGAGCGAGGGCTTTTGAGGGCTTAGGGCAGCAGGGCATTACAATACATGGGCTCGCTGGCCTCGGTCTCTGGCTAGACTACATAGGAGAGAGGGGGGGTTTACGCTGACAACTTTTTTTTTTCTTTTCTGGGTCTGCGTTGTCTGAATATGTGTTGTGTTGTGTTGTGTTGTGTTTGTGTCTGCGTGTATATGCACGTAGGGCTTTGCAGGGGCGGTTCGAACCGTTCCCGTCGCTCGTCCGGTTAAAGGTAGGTACCGTGCCTACATAACTAACATGACGATCCATGGTTGTCTGGGATTAGGTTGGGTTAGGTACGAGGCCGAGAAGGGAAGGCTGGAAAAAAAGCTGTGCTGTCGTCGCGGGAGAGGCTATCCCGGAGCAGGGTATATACACATACACTATTATGCACACGCATACACACACATACACGCATTACATGTGTTCCGCACGGGCAACATTCGCTACAAGAAGCGCCGTCCGTCCACCACGTTCCAGGAGCGCGAAAGTCTGCGCTTGCTGTCCACTCGTTCACGGTCTATTATCGACGTGTATGACGTCTGACGGTCTCGCCAGGGGTGCTGCTGGCGCTTGTCTGTGGGAACGGCCGCTACGTATGTATATGTATGCGTACATACATACAACATACCATACATACGTTACTTCTGATGATGACACGAAACAAACGAACGAACGAAGGTCGAATACATACCTAACCTAACCTACTCGTGCCCCTCTCTCCTACCTGGTCGATCTGCCATCATCACGCGTTTATCCTATCCTACGTGGCACGGATTCCGGCCAAGCTGGTTACAGCTAGCCGGAGTTGCTTCAGTCCAGCCACGTCTTCTGTCTACTAGCTAGCTATGTAGCTAGCTAGCAAACCCGACCTCGTCGACTCCATCTCCCCCTTTCGTTTCCGTTTCCCGCCGCCCCCGCTCCCACGTCGATGGAGTAGAAAGATCGTCCAGGGTTGGGCACCGAGACGTTCGTTCGAGCTTCCAGACTTAGCATGGCATGGCATATGTACCTGTATTGCCGTTACAAACTACCGTAACGTACACTCGAGCCAGGTAAATCCGGTCCAGCTAGGAAAGCCCGCCCGTTCATCCCTCTCCAGGTGGCGAAATCTCCTCTCCTTTCTGCACGGCACTGACCAGCGTATGTCAGTGTCAGGTATGTATGCACCTAACCAGACCAGCTAACCCCAAAGCTCAGTCCGCCAGCTGGCTCGGCATCCGATAGGTCGCACCGGCCATCGTCTAGCCCGGCTTAGCCCAGCCCAGCGAGAGACGCCGCCGTTATTTCACCTGCTTACCTGTCTACCACATACATACATACGTACCTCATACATAACACATAATCACATATTCACATACACGCATACACGATTTCCTCTCAGCCAGCCTCCTTTGCTCGTCTCGTCCGTTTGAAAAGGCTATCTAGGTACCTATCTTAGGTACCTATCTATCTACACATCACAAGCCTTTCCCGCCTTCCGTTCGGTTCTATCCGTCCGCCTGCTCACCGCTGCTTTCCGCCACCATCGCCACTATTTACCTCCACCTCCTCCCTCGTTCTTCCTTTCCTCTCTCTCGACGGCGGTGACGCTCGGTAGGATCTTGGCGAGCGCGGCCTTGTCGTCCTCGGTGGGCGCGAAGCCGTACCGCGCCTCGGCCCGATCAGCTAGCTGCAGACCGATGGCGCCCCAGGCCAGCAGGCCCAGGCCGACGCCTATGCGGGTGCGGGGCGAGAGGTTGCGGAAGGACCTGTTGTTTTAATTTCTTAGCTTGTGTTTATTTTATTTTGTTTTTCTCGTGACGGTTTATTATTATTATTAATTTCATTATTAAGGTGTTTATTATTTTTTTTTACTTGAGATAGGGGAGATAGGATAGAAGTAAGTAAGTAGGGGAGTCAAGTCGGTGACGCCCGAGAGGTGAGACGGTGAGAGACGGTGAGGCGTGAGTGGTTAGTTCGGTTGGATCAGGGCCTCTGGTTGGCTGGTCACATTTTGAGACGACCCCAGGTGACAGATGTATAGGTATGTATATGTATAGGTAGTATGTATATGTAGTATGTATGTATGTATGCGAGTATGCGTTGTTTATTGTTATATGCGTAGCGCAGGTGTGAGGTGTAAGGAGGCATGAAAGCATGAAGACAGACAGGCTTACTTACTGTAATAGCGACATGCTTGATGCTTGTATTGTACCGTATGAATCTTGCTCCCGTGTAAGCCCCGTGTGAGCCCCGTGTGAGCTTCTTCTCTCACCGACCTCCCCTTCTAAGTGTCATGTGCCGCTGAGCGAGGGAAATGAGCAAGCCTCCGAGACGTTTCAATAACGTAAGCCGGCGTTGTTGTATGGTGTGTTTGTGTGGTCTGGAGGCAGAAGGCGGTGAGTATGAAATTAGTTTTTAGTTGGTTTTTTTTTTTTTTTTTTTGTGTCCCGGTAATATTTTTTTAATAATAATAATAATTATTATTATTTTTCACCTGCCTTTTCGCCTCGCGTTTATTGTACAGTACGACTTCGGATGACGGGATCTTTTTATTCTTGGATCTCACAGGTTCCTCATTGCCTGTAAGTGGTATATGCAGATTGTTAGTCGTGCCGTCATTTGTGGTTATACGACATGATGATGATGATGATTTTTTTTTTCCTTAAAAAAATTCGGGATTTGAAGTTAAACAAAGAGGTGCCACTCGTTCGTGCCGTAAGCCATGTTTAAGATTATGCCGTATAAATGCATATTCTTTAATTCTCCGCCGGAAAGGGGAAAAGGGGTATCGTATACTCAAGTAAAAGCCTATTGGACAATGCTTCTCCGTCGGCGTCTGTACATAGTAGGTATACATAGTAGGTACCTGTCGACTTCCAACGACAGGCAGCTCTCACTGCATAAACATTTTACTTTTTTTATCTACCTGGGTAATTTATTTAATCTACGATTTTTTTGAACGGTCCGTCTCGATCTTGCATCGATCATCGGAAACCTACCCGTGTCTAATAATAACCACCTTAACGATGATGACTCGAGCAACGCGCTCTTCGTGACATTAACCAATCAATCGCTGGCTCCGTACTTAGCACGATACTCCTCGATGCTCTTGATATCGGCTTCCGAGATAATACCCTTCATACCCTCGATTATGTCGTCGAGCTTCACGATAGGGATGATAGGGATCTGATACTCCTTCTTCAGCTGGCCGATGGCGCTTGTCTTGCCGTCGCCCTCTGGTAAGGTTTCCTGGCGATCTAAAGCGACAATAATGCCCACGACAGTGCCACCGGCGGCCCGGATCATGTCGATGGCCTGGCGTTTGGCAGTGCCAGCGGACACGACGTCGTCGATGATGAGAACACGCTTATCTTTTAGCGGCGATCCGACGATGCTGCCGCCCTCGCCATGATCCTTCGCTTCCTTTCGATCGAAGCTATAGGCGGCGTGGCGGTACTTGGCGCGGTCTAGCTTAATCAAGGCGTAGAATACGGTGGCAGCCAATGGGATACCCTTATAAGCCGGGCCGAAGATAACATCGAAACCATCGGCCAGCTCGCTTGTGGCGATAGTCTGGGCATATGCATCCATGATGGGCTCATGCAGCTCGCCAGTATAGAAGTCACCCGCATTGAAGAAGTATGGCGATATCCGCTTCGACTTCAATTCGAAAGACCCGAACCGTAGGGCGCCGCCCTCGACGGCAGCCCGTAGGAAGTCCTTCTTATACTGCGGAAGACTCATCCTATAGATTTGTGTCTAAGTTGGAATTAATGATTATAATCTTAGGGGCCAAGTGATTTGACGTGGGGTAAAGTCTGAATTGCTTTATAATGATTCAGGTTCGGGGGTGAAGTTTGGGTATTTCTCAAAAGTGGGATATAAAAACTCAATGGCGGGGTAATGAGAAAAAAGTAAGGATGAAGCGAAGTATATAAAAAAAAGAAGCATCGTGAGTAACTTACTGGATCAGGATTGTTATGATTTAGTTGTAAATAAATTGACTAAGTACTAGCAGTCTCATCTAAGCTTTATATAGCTTGTCAACTTTATGTTTTGGTAATCCAAGATCGATTGATAGAATTGATACAATTTTCACATGCGCCGTCGCGTTCTTGAAAGCAATCGCGCAGTTCAACTTTCCACTTTTCTTCACTAGTTAACAGGTACATACATAGTAAGATAAAGTTATCGTTGATAAGATAAGATAATCGATAAGGAATTTTTCTGCGCCAAGATTTCGCAAAAGTGCAACTCCCACTGTCCCTCCACTCCGCCTTTTTTCAAAATACAACCAAAAAAGGTCGATAGGCTGAAGAACAGCTGGACCTGAAGCGGCTGATTTATCAACAATCCTAACTTAGGTACATAATCGCATTATCTGTCGCCCAATATGAAGACTACTTGGAAGGATATCCCACCGGTCCCGACGTCGGAGGAGTTTCTTGATATTGTTCTGTCGAGAACTCAGCGACGTCTACCCACTCAGATTAGATCCGGATTCAAAATTAGTCGTATCCGAGGTTCGTACACTATTGGCATTGGTCGCGTCCAACTTGCAACTTGTGCTCGGTACTAATTGGCTTTCACAGGATTCTACACTCGTAAAGTCAAGTTCACTCAAGAGACTTTTACGGAAAAGTTCGCTCAAATTCTTGAGAGCTTCCCCCGGCTCCAAGACATTCATCCATTTCACAAGGATCTTCTAAACACTCTCTACGATGCCGACCATTTCAAGATCGCGCTCGGTCATCTTTCAACTGCGAAGCACCTTATCGAAACCATCTCGAGAGATTATGTGCGACTTCTTAAGTATGCTCAGAGTTTGTTCCAATGCAAGCAGCTCAAGAGAGCCGCGCTCGGTCGAATGGCAACTATCACCAAGAGACTAAAGGACCCTCTACTATATCTTGATCAGGTCCGCCAACATCTTGGTCGACTTCCCTCCATCGATCCCACCACCCGCACTCTCCTGATTTGCGGATACCCCAACGTTGGCAAGTCGAGTTTCCTGCGCAGCGTAACCAGAGCCGACGTGGACGTCCAGCCTTATGCTTTCACCACTAAGAGCTTGTTTGTTGGTCATTTCGACTACAAGTACCTTCGTTTCCAGGCCATTGACACGTAAGTTATTTCAACATCCACCATTGCGCCGAACCCCGTATTCCCTAGCCCCGAAGAGGAATCAGAGTAATTTATGCTAACGCAAAACAGCCCCGGTATCCTGGATCACCCCCTCGAGGAGATGAACACAATCGAAATGCAGTCTATTACTGCCATCGCTCACTTGAGGTCCGCTATCCTTTACTTCATGGATCTTTCGGAGCAGTGCGGTTATTCAGTTACCGCGCAAATGCAACTATTCAAGAGCATCAAGCCCTTATTCGCAAACAAGTTGGTCTTTATTGTCATCAACAAGATCGATATTTTAAGGCCCGAAGAACTGGATGAGAAGACGAGCGGCGAACTTCAGTCATTAGTCTCCTCCGGTGAGGTAGAGTTGCTCCAGCTCTCCTGCAATACGCAAGAAGGCGTACAGGAAGTCAAGAATGCCGCTTGTGAACGACTTCTTGCGGACCGAGTTGCCCAGAAGTTGAAGGCAGGCACGTCAAACAGCGGTGCCATCGGTGGCAGGTTAGCAGATGTTATGGCCAGAATTCACGTGGCGCAACCTATGGGCGGTGCTACGCAGGAAACCTTCATCCCCGAGGCTGTGAAGAACCTCAAGAAATACAACAAGGAAGATCCCGAGCGTCGCAGATTGGCCCGTGACGTTGAAGCTGAAAATGGTGGTGCTGGTGTGTACAATGTGGACTTGAAGGCCGATTACATTCTTGCAAACCCCGAGTGGAAGCACGATAGGATACCCGAGATTTACGACGGCAAGAATGTCTACGACTATATCGACCCCGATATTGATGCCAAGCTGCAAGCATTAGAAGAGGAAGAAGAGAAGCTTGAGGCGGAAGGATACTACGACTCGGACGAAGAGATTGACGATGCCGAAGAAGCAGATATTAGAGTGAAGGCGGAGATCATTCGAGAGAAACAGGCACTAATTCGGAACGAGGCGAGAATGCGTAGAGTCAAGAACCGTGCAGCTCTACCCCGCAAGGCTATCAAGAAACCTCTATCTCAACTTGAGGATAGTCTTGACCAGATGGGTGTTGACACTCAAGACCTGCAACTCAGAGGAAGATCGCAAATGGTGACCCGTGGACGTTCTCTCACCAGAAGTCGCCAGGGTACTGAAGATCCTAACGCCATGGATATCGACGAGACGCCCAAGGAGAGACTACGCTCCATGAGCCGGGCGGCAAGCCGAGCAAGAAGCCAGCCGGCAACAAATAGACGCGACGATGGTGTCCAGGATGAGGAGACGAGGACGAAGGCAGAGAGGCAGGCTAAGCTAAGCCAGAGGAAGATGAACCGCATGGCCAGACAGGGTGAGGCTGATAGGCACATTGGCGCTACGCTGCCTAAACATTTGGTAAGTTTTCTCTACTATATACCACATACCGTGCGGTCTTGTGCTAACATGATAAATAGTTCGCCGGTAAACGAACCATGGGCAAAGCGTCTCACCGTTAAGAAGTGCTTTTCTACCCCCGGTCTGTACATAGTTGGTTTGATATGGCATATCAGGTTTTTTTTAACTTTGCTCTGGCGTTCAGGACGGATATGATACTTTCCAGAGACGTGCTCCGCCGCGTTTACGACTATTTTAGTTGAGTCAATCGATCATGAGAACGAGTCTGCGTTGAGGTCCTTGGTGTGACTCGTCTATGTGAATATATCGAAGTAACGCATCTCGGATTTCTCTGAAGACCTGCGGCATAATCGTGGAATTAAGCAGTAGCCACATACGATTCTTGAAGCCCCTCGGTTCCCTTCCACTTGTGATAGATGCCTCGAAGTCACGAACTCGTAGCATTATAACTGGGGTTAGAGGTATACTTACATACCTACCAGCCAAGTATACGAATAATACCACGAAAGAGCTAAAATACAGTTATTTTTACTTAATTCGACAACGCCAGGCATAAAAATCCCCTAGTAACTCACAGACAATAATCTCAGACCATGCTCATGCTATATATCCCCAACCTTTCATCACGCCCAGCAGTCCTGCCTGCCCATAACCTCGTTTCCTTGCACCAATATAATATAATATAATGCCCACGGTAATAAATCGACCCAGCGTATGAATGCGTACGTACTAAGACATACTTATAAGTGTTAGGTACCTAACCTCACGTCAGACGTTCCCAAACCATCCGATGTACCACCTCCCATCCGGCATCCCACGTCTCTCGTCAGCACGATGATCTCCCCTTGCCGCTTGCGTTATCTCACCTTACCCTCTACCTACTTATCTCAAAGCGGGATCGGACGCCAAGGGGGGGGGGGGGGGTGTTAAAGATTATTTTTTTATTCTATTCTATTCTATTTTATCTTACCTATTTATCTATTTATGTACCTATTAATTACCTATTTGGAGCGTAATCCCATCATATGTTCCTATACAAGCAGCCCGCATGAATATATGCAATATATCTACCTAGATACCCATCTTCATCCGTATGACGTACCCGATCGATTACCCTCCCACGGGTTACCATCTCGGGCAATCCTCATTTTTTTTTTTTTTTAAAAAAAAAATCTTATTCAAGTCTTGAGGCCATAAGCACGTCTGTTAAAAGCAAGCAAGTCATGAGGTCCAAGTTAATTAGCAACTCGCTACTACGCTCGTAGCCTCAGATGAGAATTACGAAAAGGGGGGGCTATAAAACGCGACAGTTATTACGCATCCTTAAAAAGAAAGGAGTGAGTTGTAGTGATAACAGAGTGATGAATTCATCAACGGCAAACGCACGTTGCACAATATCAGGTAGCTATCTAGCTATCTAGGTCCCTAGCTGGTAGTCTATGTGTCTGTCTATATGCTCATTGACTCCTAGCCCTAGCTGCCATTATCGGTTATGCAAATGCCGTAAAAGTCTTCGTTCCACATGGATCCATGAACAAACTGCATAAAATCACCGCAATTGGACGATAGAAGCAGCGTCGTGTTTCTGTCCTCGTATGTAAATGCCGACCTTTTTTTTTTTTTCTTTCTTTTACCGGTAGCTTTCCTCCGTGATTGGGTATAGGAACTCGCAAATTGTTGCTTGTGTGAGTTCAACGCAAATCTCACCTCACCTTACCTGCACACCTCATTCCGATTTACCGGCCGGTCTGGCCAAAATGTTACGAGCGAAACCCCGAAATGCCGATCAGCCGCGCGATTGTGGTCTCGCCGAATAAGAGGGTAATCCCGTGATCTTGAGTGACATATCGTGCCAACCTCCGCCGCCAAATCCCACCGAACTCTCTCCTAGGTGCAAGAAGCCGAACCGCTCATAGAACGCAACCAAGTACTAAGGCCGAAGGCGTTAGTATGAAGAGTCCCGACCCGCATAGGGACCAAAAGTAGGAGCGAGAAGAAATAATGAAGAGAAACAAATAATACTTACGTCTTGGCAGATAAGCGAGCAACGCAGTGCGCACTCCGAGTTCCTGAGCTGCTGAAGATACGACTTCATGAGGAGCTTTCCGAGGCCGCAGCTCTGGAGCTTAGGATGGACGGCGAATGAGTGGATGCAGACGGTGCTGCCAGCCTCCTGATGGCCCAAGCCAGTTGTGTTGCGCTTGTTAGTGCGGAAGTCACGGGGATAGTCCATGGCTTTGTCAGTCACAATTTCGTCGTGCGATCGCGTCGCCACAATATGCGCCATCAGAACACTTTTGGCGCCGTTTTCGCGACCCGTCTCGACGGGATGCGCCGTCGGGAACGTATCGATCTCAAAGCCCTCAGTTTTATCAGGGGCGACGGTGCAGAAGAGACCGAGACATAGTTCTGGGCATACTGTTAAGCGGTACTCAAACTAGTTGTGAGTTAGCAATTCCTTTCTTTAGACGAGTATGGGTATAATCTAATACGAGTTTAATATATAGTATATGTATATGATATAGGGGTAATCACGTGTAACCCAAAAATGACATGGCAACAAATATGATATATCAAACTGAGATATGATATTTCAAAAAATTAGGTATGAACCTGAACCTGAAACGAACGCAACTCACCTTCTCCCTCGTAGCCCGATGCGCCGGGTCTGCAAACGCAGCATCCTCCAGTGCAACACAGCTCTCGAGGTCTGAGATTGTTAGAGGGCGCACATTTGGTAGGAATGGGAACGGAACGAGCTCCTGAACCCGGCCGAGTCTGCCCGGAGGCCTGTTGTGGTGGTGTCGCTGGGTATAGTTCTTGGTCTGAGTTGCTTCTATAACGTCGTCATCCGGCAGGTCTTCCGAGTCATCGACAGCGTTCTCAACGACGTCCTCTCTAAGTAAAGCAGCCGCTACCTTCAGGCCTGCTATGCCTATGGCTGTATTCTTGTCGGTAGCGGTGACGGCAGGGTTGTCGCTGACCCTTCCGGGTCTGGCGGGAGATTCCGACATGCTTGTCAGTTTGTCGAGCCTTTTTTTTTTGGTCTCCGATTGGCCAGTCTAGCCCGGGATGTCTAAGACGAAAAGGAAGTATTTATTGGGCGAGGGACTGCAAAGAGGAGGTTCAGGTAGTATTGGAGGCGTTGGGACCGAGGCGGGGTGCAGATAGGTAATAGACGCCGCACACACACATATAAAATTTTATCGACCCGAGAATGCGCTGCGATCAGATAGATGTTACTGTGGCGTTGGGAGTTGAATATTATAGGTGACGAAATATGTAGGATCTGTGATGTTCGGATAGTAAGTCACCTTGGATGGTGATGATAATATAAATTATCAGTCAATGGGAGATCAAGCTTATGCGGTAGGTACTTGAATACTTGTTTCCTTGAAAAAAGGATTAAGAGGTAGAAGAGCCAATTGAATTTACCGAAATCGGAATAAGCAACTACCGTACCATGTAAAACGTAAGGGACAGGAAAGAAGGAGGGAAGATGAGGGAATAAAATAGGTACCTAAGTTACATAAATTAGAATAGGAAAAGGAAGGCACAACCGACCACATCATCCTGAAACGGCTTATTTGCTAGCACGTATAACAGTGTATAGAAAACGCCGTTAGAGTTGGCTGGCGTAGTACCTAACAGTATAGTAACAGCAGTAACAGCAGCAGCAGTAGCAGCAGCAAGAGTAATGAATCTCCTCTTTCCATTTGTTTCCCCTGCCCGCATGACTTTCTGCTTAAACAAGTAAAGCATAGATTTACGCACGCCCAATCATATTTTACCATGACGAGCATTTCTCCTGTTTGTCTCAGTCATCTTCACACATATGTACCTCTTACTCAACCTCTTACTCACGTCAAAGCCACGGATAATCTACTGGGTACTGGGTACTTGCCAACAACCCCACCGTAAAGAAAAAGGGGGGAGGGGGGGGAGACGGGGGATAAGGAATTAACAACAAATATCAAACAAATATCAAAGCAGTTCAGAACCAGAGGGTATCATTGCCTATCATCTCTGTGGTATCGTACAGCCGTAGCCTGCTAGCCACGCCATCAAATCGTCCATAGTGGTATCCGCCTGTCCATCCTTCAAGCCCGTATTGCAGTCTACCTCCCAGCCAACCCTGACCCCCCTTTTCTCCCTGCCAGTCCGCCCAGTCCGTAAACATGGCTGTCGTCGTTACGACGGAGACTTGTCTTTGCATGTCCTTCGTCTTGGGAACGGATGGTAAGGATGTGGGATATCCGATAAGCACCCCCAAAGCAGGCTAAAAACCGTATAAAAAAGAGAACCAACGCCACCTCATCGGGTGCAAACGAAACAACTATGGTATTTTTGCCCAAGCTGTGTCAAATTTTCTGTGCTTTTCTGTGGTATCGTCCGACGGCGTCCTCCCGCTCCAATCTGCAACGCCGTATTCCGCCTCGCGCAGCTCGTGGTATCATGTCCAGATGTACTCGTGGATATAAGCGTCAAGTAAAATCGTTCGCAGCCTTCGTCCGGCGGCCTCCGAGGGAAATGAAAGAGAAGAGAAAAAGCCCGTAAAACCTTGAAACCTAAAAAAAAAAAAGAGAAATAAGAGATGAAACAAAACTATAAAGCAGAGAGTTGAGAAAATCGACCGAAAAACGCAGAGCCGACCGATGCATGATCATAGGATCGGGTATTTGTACGCCAGGGTATATCCAGCCGGGGGGGTATTGCACGTAGAGCATCTAAAAGACGGAATCTAACGGTATGGTCCAATCGGACCGGGGTATCCTGAATTTGTGGAATGAGAAGTCGACGGTCGACCACTGTCGCCAGACGCACGCGTGCTGTGGCGCGGTGTCATGTCACCGCCGTGGGGAATGTTGTTAGGTGTTAATTTGTTGTCGTAGCCGTTGCTGAAGTGACGGCTCGACCAAGGGTTACTGTCATCGTCTGGAAGATTGACGCCGCTATCGTTCCAGGGGTTTCGATCAGCATTGAAGCTGCGAGTCGACTCTATCGAGATGAGAGATGACTTGGACACATTGCTTGATCCCTTGAAAAATGTGTTCATCGAATGAGAGCTGTTCTTTCTGCGATCAAGAGAAGACAGGAGCTGAGACGGCTTCCGGAGCTTGTCAAAGATGGTGGTGGTCCGCTGTTGGATCATGTCTTCGCCAAACGCCGGTTTCGTAGGCGAGTCTGTGCCAATGGGAGTGGGGGCGTGCTGGAGTAATTTCGAATCAAAGTACTGAAGTGAGTCCTCGAATGAGTCCGACTTCGGACGCGGGATTGCGCCCTTAACAATGGTACCATCGACGCTGGCAGCCGCGAACTGCTGCATAAGGAAATCGATGGCATCACGGAGGCCACCAGTATTGTTGCGAGTGAGCTTCCAAAGTAAAGTTACGGTGCGCTCCCCTTCCTCTGTCTTCTCTTCGGGATTCTCGTGCACTTCAAGAGATACCTCATGCTGAGTCTTGAGCTTCGAAATAAGCTCGTTAACAAATTCAGGAGACTCGAGAAATTTGACAAGAGATGGAGTCCGAGTCAAGACCAATTCGTGAGTTTCAGGGACCATTCCCTTTGAAGTAGATGTTAGCATTATACACTTGGCTCATGGTTCAGGTTCTGCTGGACTTACCAAGAACTCATCGGCACACAGGGGTACCTGCCACTCTGGACCGGTAACGGTCACCTCATCGCTAGCCTGCTCGGTACTGGGAAAGACAATCTTGCAATTCCACTTCTTCTCAAGTTCCTCGATCTCTTGCAGGCGAGCAATAAGCTGTCGATGGTACAGACGGTCAACGTGCACAATCTGAGAAGTGAACTCGGAATGCTAAGAATATATGTTAGTGACTCGGATATATGGTATATATTCGAAATGTCTATGACTTACTGCTCTGTCCACCATGTCCAGAATCTCAGTCTTGACTAATTCAAGATTCTGAGCGTTTCGAGCGGGAGTACGGCAGATGACATTGTCAACTTTGACGTCGTCATCTTCACGACCCATGCCTCCTAGTACGCCTGTTAATAAGCCCGAGCCTTGGCCGCGCTGGCGGGGGAGGTTCATACCACGATCCATAGCGTTCGAGAACTTGACAAAAACAGAGTGTTTTTTCATGATCCGCTGGATGTGTTGACCGCCGATGCCGATGATTCGCTTGTGGTATTGGTCAGGAACGTGGAATGAAATAGAAGCAGGCATCTCCTGCTCTACCAACGTCATTCCTTGCTTCATGGAATCGTATGATGGAGCAATAACGTCGATGTCGAAATTATACTCTCTGAAACTATCAAAGATAATTTGAACATTGCCTACACTGTGTTAGCTAGACTCGTGAATTACTATTATCTGACTTACTCTGTGTCATGATTTTGTTGATCTTGCCATTCTTCTTGCCTGAGACGAATTCCTTGTGCTCATTGGCGAGCTCAATCTTGACCCGAATCTGATGCTGAGTCTGATTGACGAACTTAATCTGAGAGAGAACGCCGAGGGCCTGCTTCACAGCATCATCAGAGCCGTTGATTGTGAACGTCATTTTGTCAAAGGAGATATCCGCGTCGGAACTGGCAGAGATATCACCAAGCATGGCACGGATTTCGTGAGGAGCTGGAAGCTGGGAGATACCAGCTTGTTGGATCCACCATGACGCAAAGTAGAACTGGCCGGCCTACGCTACGGATTAGTATCTGATCACTTATTGAGCGTCTTAGGGACATACGAGGGACATGATTTCTTTCATAGTGCGTTCGATGTGGAGTCCTTCCACACCTTGAACCCGAATCATGTTGCGCTGTGAGGCAAGAGGAGGGAACATGATAAATGTGCCGTTAGTCTCCATAATTTTTCGAACTTTGTCCATTCGGCCAAGTAGGATGCTATCAATCTTGGGAGGTGAAACTACGGCATCTTTCATGAAGAGTTTTGTCCTGTTCACCAACTCGTGGATCTTGCGCTTGGCTAATTCTATACCTTGAGGATTCTCGCCAGTGATAAATATCTCTTCCGGGTTCCGACGACTCGCATTCGGCGGGCAATAGCGGTGCAATTGGGCGAATGGAGGAAAGTAGATGGCCGTATTGGTGACCGACTCGATCATTTTGATGTTCTTTCGAGAGCGGCCGCACACGATCGGGTGCAACGTGCTCTCAAAACGCATGATATCCAGCTGACGTCCAAGCTATACTCCACATTAGTACCGTTTATTTAACATTCGTTACGAATTCGAGGCTCGGAATATACCAATTTGTCAATAAAGATGAGAACCTGGGTCTTGGCGTGTTCCGTAGACTCGATATCTCCGTAGATAGCGACCCTCCACCTTTGGTCTCGAATAACCTCGACGTCACCATTTAGGCCGTCGACCGTAGGAGTAAGTTTTGGGCCGAGAATAAAAATATCAACCCCGCAGAACACGGCGAAAGTATCTAGAGCATCGGTGACGTTCTTTTGTAGTGCACCAGCTTGAGCATCGACGATCAATCCATAATCTACGTCAACAGTAGTACACCTCTACAATTCTTAGTTTAGCGGCACGAATCATTTATCACGTTACAGATAGAGCCGAGATGTGCATACCAATGCTAAAGGGGTATCGCTCAAGATAGTCTCACGGCTCTTGTGGACGAGTTCCGGAGAACCGGAAAGGCACACCGTTGTGACTTGCGACTTGAAACCTTTCGGTACGCTTGAGACGACGTGTGCTTCGATCGGTAACGGTCCTTTCGTAAGTTCTCTACATAAATTCTGTAGATTGGCTAGGTTCTGGGCGTGGACGGGTAAGTCGTAAACGGGGATGTCATCGGGGGCATCTCCTGGGTGCGTCCACCTAAAGACGGCCTCTCCAGTCGCATGCAGAATCTCCTCCGTGTTGGGGCCGGCGAGATCGGACGCGAACGGGACGTTAAAGGCGAAGTGAATAGTACTGTCGGCGGCAGGCGAGGGACTTAACGGAGCTCCCGGAGCTCCAGCCTTCTGGTGGGGATTTATGGCGGTCATGTTCATATTCGGTCTTGACGACGCGCCGAAGTTGGGGCTCATCCTCTCGGGCCAGTGACGCATATTGGCGAGCTTTTGCATGGTGAAACCGGGGGAGGAAGGAAAGAGCCTAGGAGTGTAATAGGTGAGGGTAATTGAGGAGTTGGAAAATGGGGTATCTCGTGCGGGAAGTTCAAAGAAGGAAGAATGAGAAAGAAATTAGAGAGAGAAAAAAAAAAGGAAAGCGAGTAAGGAAGAGAGGAGGAAACCGGAAAGTGTCGTAGACGGCGGCTTCTTCTCTAACCTTTCTCTTTTTGCAAAGATGGGCAACCTCTACAACTGCTGGCGGGGAGGTTGAGAGAATGAATAATGAGGAGAAAGTGGAATTGACGGAATGGATGGACGGATGGATTTTGGGACATGAGATGTGGTGGACTGGAAGAATCGATGGAACGAGCCAAAAGCCCGAAGTGTCGGGTGTGTCGAAGCTGCAGTCAGCAGCTTGTAAGCTGGCCAATAAGCATGGCGGATTCCGGGGGGAACTGAGTGAGAAAAAGCCCTGGGGGAGCCCTGACTGCCTGAGCAGTGTGGTACGTATCGCAATTAGCTTGGTTGAATGCCCTGTAATTGTTGTGTGGGCTTAGCGCGGTTGGTAGACTGGTCCAAACTCATTCCAGTTCTGGTGGGGGGCTGCCGGACCACTGATGCACCGTTTGGCGCAAGTTACCTCAGAGCAAGTGGATGTACGGCAAGTTCTACCATTAGATTAGTACTTGCTATTAGCAAGCACAGTGGGAAATTGAGTTAGCCCTAGCCAACGGTTACATGCGTAAAGATAGACAAGCAAGTATTAGATCTAGGTAGTTATATGTACCTTGTAACTAACAGGTATTGGCATACATAGGTAGTTTCTTCCTGGCGTCATCATTAGCTGTGATATTTCACGTATTGTACAATCAATCTACCTCACCTCTTTACATACCATCTACCTCCTTTGGATTTCGATATTGATATATCTATGAATATTGCTTCTAATCAACGATATAAACTTAGGTAATTACAAACCCCAAGACATTTTTAGAAATGAGTCCTGCCTTGGCTTTTACGCTCGTTACTTTTTTATCTCGAGGCGCAAGTCTAATTGCATTGCAATGCTAGGTTATAGTAAGTATTGTACATGTGATAGACCATTACCTAGGTTAGGTACTCGATCAGTGAGTGTAACATTTCCATACATCTAATACATCTAACTATCCATTTATTCGTTCAATGTTTCTACTTGACGTTATGTACCTAATGTAAGTCACTCACATGTATGTCTCTTCAATACTACATACACTACATAACTCACTCAAATTTCAAACAAGCTTGCGTATTTGAATGGCTATTACATAGAAAGTGGCTATTAAAAAAATCATTTATGGCCCGTGGTTGGTTTCGTATGTAGAATGTGGGCAACACGAACTTAAGGAATACCTAAGAAACAAGGTAATAAGGTACTACTGTATGTGAGTGGCCTGCTTTTGTGGTATACAGGGATGTTGAATTACATATTAAATTTCTTGTCTGTCCTTGTCTGTCCTTGGTTAAATCCTGGTCTACCCGATTTGAGATGTTCGGATGCATTCCAAACAGACATAGCCACGGTGCACAAGACCACAGTTAGCCAAGTTACGGTACTGCACTTTTCCACCACCTATGCTTGCTACATACATACCTACCTATGTATGTACATAGGTAGGTAGGTAGCAGATTGTTAATGATTGCTAGTCCGATCTTGTTCGACCTTACGGATCATGGCCGGACGTAGGTAACCTGCTCGAGCCGACCTAGAATCTGATGGATCACGGCACGGGATGTACATACATACATACATACCTATATTATACATACATATCACATATCTACTGCAGTACTTACATATCTGAGTTGGCAGATCTCCCGCGTATTCTTCATCCCTTTAATCATTCCCCCGGGTCCTACGAGAAACCCAAAAAACCAAACCCGCAACACGGACATAGCGTAGCAGCAGTTGAGCAGTATCAATTAGGTTTAGATTCTGTAGAGAGACGCCGTTTAGACATCCTCCAAGGTTACCAATTTCATATCTTACCTCACCTAAGCTCACCGCGAGTCTAGCAATACCTACCTAAGCTCGATTCCTCCAAGTTTAGTTGAAAACGTCGAAGAAAGCGCCACATACATAGTACTAAAGCACGGACGCTGTCTTGTACATCAGCAGCAGCAGCAACCTTCCCATCGGTGGGTAATGCCACGGGGCGTCCTATATATTGAAATATTGACTCGTATATTTTTGGTCTGCTTCTATTTTCTCCCTCCCTCCAGCCAGCTTACCGTCCTTCCTAGCGGTACTCTCTCTATAAACGGCATCGGGCTTATCCGGGGGCCGCGCGTCTTTATACCTTCGCCATCACTACCGAAGCTCCGGTGGTTGGCGGTTTATACATACGAGTAGTACTACATACGAGCAAGGCCCTTACCCCAATCGTAAACTCATGGATTCCGGTTCTCGAGCCGTCGTGGAAAAACGATACTGTCCCAAAGCATACCTCATCTTCTATTGCTAGCTACTATCGCGAGTCAATAAATGGGATAATGGGGAAAAGCAAGCATTAGAGACACTTATTGATAAAGGCAAAATCCTACCTAGAATATTAATACTGTTTATTTAAGACCTCTCTATTCTTAGGCAAAATATTCCTCAACTTTGACATATTAAATCTAGATAGTAGCCGGCTTATAAAAACGAGTGTACTGCCGAGCGTATCTCGGCTAACATTCCACAGCCGTATCAAGAGCGATGGGAGTAGATAGATGGTTGCAGCACTACATGCACCTATCTTCCTCGCTTATGCAGATCAGAGTTCCTGTCAATCTAAAGTGGAGGATAAACATGCACCGCATCACTGAGCTAACGGAATATATAGTGCTTCTGGGTCCTCTTTGGTGAATGCCATCTGGTATATATTATATACAGTCCATGCAGATAAGCACTTGGCTGGGTCGAGCTTGGTCCCGTGGAGGAGCTCTGCATGCCACCACCCATTCCAAGCCACGCCCCTAACTCAACTCCTACTATCCATAGAATCCCCTCCATACCAACGCCGAGCAGATCTTTGTCTTGCTATTATAGTACGATGCCAAGAATCATGGCAAGTTTCAACTTTAATTCCTCATGTAGTCAATTATAAGACTACTTAGCATTAGAGAGGATCCAATCTTCCACTAGTCGTCCTCAGATTCGGTTACAGTATCGTGTTGATGTACTGCCCCTAGTGTCTGACACGTATTTATTGGTATACTTGCCTTCGACTATTGTCGGCGTAAAGAATCTCTTGCTGAGGCGCTCGGGGCTGCTCAATATAAGTGACATCCCCTTCTGGGTGAGGCGGCCTATCATAATAACGCTCTACCGGCTGGATGCTAAACTCGCGCCTGGGCATATCACGTTCCGACGGTCTTGGGCCGAACTCACGAACAACCGCAGACGCAGCATCCCTTCTTACCTCAGGGTGAACGCTAGCAGCATATCGCCTAGATGGCACCTCGGGTCGTACGGCCTCAACCCTGTTGTAATACGGCACAGCATCCGGCGGTCGGACGCTTGTAGCTCTAGGTAAATAGTCCCTTGGCATATCCTCGGGAGCCCGCCCTGTTGGTGCTCCTCGGACCGAAATAAACTCCTGGTTCGGTGCTCCCATAGGTTGTATAGGATAGTCACGCTCACGATAGCTTCTATAATCAATACCATACTCCGGCTGCGTAATGACACGTCGAGGAGCATATGTGGGCGATGCACGCCGGTAAATAATTCCATCCTCCTCAAACGTCTCCCCAGCCACGCGAGATGGGGCACGTAGTGGTACTCGTTCGTAGACTAACTCACGCTCGGTCGGTCTTGGGGGTGGTACGACTGAGTGACGCGTAGCGGCGCTGGCTCGGGGAGGATCATAATACTCGCGGCCATATTGGTCAACTAAGATACGAGGTGGAGGAGCAGGGGGAGCCATAGTAGGCGAGCGTCTCTCCACAACGACAGGTGAACGTGATCTAGCACGATCCGTATAAGGTCGTACACTCGTCCGTCCATCACGTTGATATGTAGGAACATCCCGGTAGGGATAGTTCACCGAGTAACTCGCCGAGCGTGGAGGGCGCGACTCTATAGCACCGTAGGGAGCCGGATAGCCGTAAGGAGATTGGACTCGTTGAATATATTGCACGATCGTCCCATCCGGCCGCCGTTCTTCGTATACACCACGATCTAATCTTTGAGTCGCCGGGGCGACGGATTGGCGCAAGGGTCTTGCATACGGATCATCCAGCCTTTCAAACCCATACGGAGGTCTCTCCGCTGGTACATGCGTAGCAGGATACTGGTCACGGTGTAGTACAGATACTGGTCGTTCGATTTGCGGCTCATCGTACACCAACTCTTGATCGTGTCTAGCATCGGGTCGAAGGCGCTTTTGAGGACGGACGAACTGAGGTGCTGATAGAGGTGAAGGCGATCGGGGTTCGGGTTTGATATAAGGAGATCCTGGGGCATCTGGTGCTCTCATTTCAGCCTTTCTCTTGTTCTTCTTTTTATTCTTCTTCTTGCCTCCTTTATCTCCCTGAGGGGAACTTTCTGGACTTGTGACAACTCCATGCTCCTGCCTTAGAGCTGTAACTTGAGCCGGTGCGCCTGGCAAAATGCTGATATCCGGCTCGGGCAGAGGGGGCCGCCTAGCTACCGCCAACGGCGAGACATGAGCAGGCTGGGGCGCGAAGGGCGAAAGATCGTGAGCGCGAACCACGGGTGACTCTCGCTGTCTGAAGTGAGCACTAGGAAGTAACTGGTGGGAGTTATGGATACGGCTGAAGTCATTAGGCTGGTCCGAATCTGTATTGCCAGAGTTATCGGATCTACTAGCAGCACCACTGTCTGAGCTGATAACCTGTGCTTCTACCTGAAGTGTCTGGCGCGGATGTGTCGCCACATCTCCTGCACGGCTAGTATTTGCGTTGTTATAGGCTGCGTGATCTTGCACAGACGTGGCTAAGCCACTAACGCTCGGCTGGGGCTGGCGGGAACTACTCGCGGTGTGGGTGGGTTGTACGCTACGACTAACATCTGTTTGGTAAGACGATGCCGGAGTGTGGACGGGTTGAGGAGCAAACTGCTTTTGCTGTGGAGCATGTGCAGCCTGCTGAGCCGCTGAGGCCGGCGCATCTCGCATGTATACATCCTGGTGTGTTGGGTTCTGGATTCGGGGAGAGGCACGAGAGTCGGGTGTTTCAAGTGGGCTGGAGTAGAAGGTATTGTCGTCAAAGGAGTCACTCGCATCGGAAGCAGTACAAGCATTAGGAGTATCGGAACTTGGTAGAGGAGCAGTAGCTTGTACGAGAGTTAGTGCCTTTGCCAAAATGTCAGAGAGGTCTAAATCAACTGGCTGCTCAGAAGGCTGTAGAGGAGCCTTCGCCAAAGCCTTTCGATGCTCGAACTCTTCTTTGAGTCCTTGCTCGAGTCTTAATCGTTGCAGCTGCAGCTCTGCCTTGGCGATATAACCAGATGCTTGAAGCGAAACAGGGTTGGCAACGGCCTTAGCAGAATCTAATGGTCTTGAGACACCTGGAATGGATGTGTTAGAGCCCGTCGAAGCTACGGTGACAGCTGGCTGCTGCAAGTTTGCCTTGAAGGACTGCAGATTGTCCACCTGATAAGAAGTGAGGTTAGGTGCATTTTGCGAAGGTTGTGTAGATGAGAGAGCGACGCGATCTCTCGCGGGCGCAGTAGACTGTTGAGGAGTGACTGGTTTAGCCACTTTGATACGAGGATGCTTCCCAGATACTATGGTATCCCGAAAGTTGATAACCTTTTGATACTCGCTGATCTCATCGAGATCAGTAGATGTCAATGCGCCGTTCTGAGCGCCTGGCTGATAGCCTAGGGCTATGGGTTCTCGTGCGATACTGGCTTGAGCCATGTTTTTCTTTCTTTTGTTCTTTTGTTGGAATCAACTTATAACAAGAGAACCATCCATAGATCAAAGGTCTAACACCCAGTTAACAGTTAAGATTAACAATGAAGAAAATACACGATTACTATTTTGTGATGGAAGATGAGTATCACGTCGAAGAGAAATCAGGTTGATAACTCCTTCGTTGCTTTTTGCATGAAGTCGAAGAAGGGAGAATGGAAGACGTGTCGCACAACGGGTCGAGCTCCAGTTAGAACTTTAATGGTTTATTTTTTTTCGTCGATAATGCATTTTAGAACAATGCCGGGAACTGCACCGTGCATGGATCCACATGTATTGTACAGCTGAGGTACCTACCTACGTACAAGTACATCTTGGGCGGGTGCAAGTACCTGAGTAATGTACCTAGGTACATACGCAATTCCCGTAGATTCAATTCCACTGAGATGTGATAGGTACCAAGAATTAGATAAGCAAGACCTCGGCAAAAAACTGTTTATGGCTACCTACATTTCTGATTACTTCATCGTTTGCTCTCGCTAAGATGTTTAAAGCAAGGCTAGAGTAGGACAATACATACACCATGCATGTCTTCGTTTTGCCGGTGACTCAAAACGAAATGTAGAGCAATATTAACAATCAATAGCTATGTTTAGAATATATTCAGCATAGTCATTATATCAAAAAGAGGAACTGAGTATAAATATATTTGTATTAGTCCTGCTTGCCGAGTCTTAATTGTGATAATTCTTCAACTCTTACTTCCTTCACCTACCTAGTTAACTACCTAGACTATTCTACCAACTTCCCCCTCACCCGCCTCGCCCATCTCAACCGCCCAAAACGGGCCAACAACTAACATCTAACATCTACAAGCTTCTCATCCAGCTTTAATTTTTAACTGCTTCCAACATTATAAAGTTTATACTTGCACCATATTCGAATAACTAGTGGTTCTCGTCAAGTTAAAACATATTTACGTCAAGCATGGGATCACAGACTGTAGTGCCAGTGCCTAATGGGGCAACAGACTCTAGACCTGTTTTATTCTTGTGAGACCATCTTCTCTCAATTAACTAGATATATAAGCTGAGACTAATGGTTTAAATAGCGACATTGACAATTGCCTTTATCCTAGAAGTATGTCCAGCTCACTTATTAAACAACAGGGAGGGATTTATTTCATACTAACTACTACTTCAGGCGCCAAAGTCCATGATCTAATGGCAGACCTAATAGACAGATACTTCGCGACACATCTAGGTCTTTCAGAAGAAGAAGCCATCAAGCTTCACCAAGAGTACTACAAGAACTACGGTCTTGCTATCGAAGGTCTAGTACGGCATCATCAAATCGACCCCCTGGACTACAACGCTAAGGTCGATGACGCTTTACCTCTCGAAAACGCCATCAAGCCGAATCCGCAGCTGCGGAAACTACTCGAGGATATCGACAAGTCTAAAGTGAAATTATGGCTTCTCACTAACGCGTACGTCACGCATGGCCGGAGAGTCGTTAGGCTTCTAGGAATAGAAGACCAGTTCGAAGGCCTTACGTACTGCGACTACTCGCAAATCCCGATTATCTGCAAACCGCATAAGGACATGTTTGCTAAGGCGATGAAAGAGGCAGGAATAGAAAAAGTCGAGGACTGCTACTTTGTTGGTAAGTACATACATATACGCATATACCATCTGGTAGTAACTAACTCTGCCTAGACGACTCATTCGCCAACGCACAAGGTGCTCAAAACCTAGGCTGGACATCAGTTCACATTGTCGAAGAGGGACTACCAGTCCCGGCATCCCCGGCATCCAAATACCAGATTAGACATCTGGAGGAGCTACGGGGGATATTCCCGCAATTCTTCAAGTCGGAAAACCAAGCATAAACAAGCGGCATATAATATAGAGCTCGGGGATGGCATATGGCATGGGTCGAGGCGTTTTGGGTACATGCATCATCAGAAGGGGACAATAGAGCTCAATGTTATAGAAAATCATAGTTAGTTATAGTCTAGACTAGTTATAGCCCTTTGGCTTTACTGATAGACTACGAGAAATCCATAACGATAACCAGAACGCCTAACCAGGGTATCAATATTCTACCACTCCACCCTATTCCTTATTAGTGCGGGCGTCTGATACTGCGAATGACTGCGTCCAACTTGGCCATCGTATCTTCCTTCTCCTTGATAGCTTCCTGTCGCTGCGCCTCAGCGGCCTTAAGCTCCTCCTCTAACTCCTTGATATTGCGCTCTTGGTCCTGTTCGCTGTTGTCGAGGCCGGGGAGTAGGGAGATGAGGAGTTCGATCTGTTGCTCTTTTGTAATGAGGTCCTGGGCAAGCTCGACTTGCGCGGCTTTGAAGACGTCCTCTGGGTGGGGGTCCACTGCTCGGGTTCGGCGGGTTAGTATCCGGGAAATAGCCAGCCGGATAGGAATATCTGGACATGAGATCGGATTGGGTTGACTTGCCCTCTTCTTGGCCAGGCTCTTGCTTCACATCTCTAATTTGATCGTTGGGACCTAGCGTCTCGAGGTTGTGATGTCGGTTGATGTAGTGAATACATGCGACGAATTGCTGGGCCAGCTGAATCCTCGGAAGTCAGTTATTATTGGAGGATGTGGATATATATATTTGAAATACTAACCTGATCAACAGCATCTTGCAATTGAGTAAGTCTGTCCCCCATGGTGGCATGCCCATGAGCTCAACGGATTGTGTTGGTTTGCGGTTCGGAGCTTACACGCATTGGCATTGGTTGAATCGACAAGGTACGGAATACGGAATACGGAATACATGTACAGGGATATGATGGTGTGGTGGGGCGGCAGGTTGCAGTAGGTAAATGCATGTGCTACTGAGAAAGATTTATCGATAAGGAGATATAAGATAGTACGTACCTACGGAATACTCAACAAGCAAACTGCCCGAAGAGCTCTCACTCATCGATTCTCTCAACTACATCTTGGTATGGGTATTTCGGTACCGACCAAGGTCCTTGGAATAGTGATGGAATGAGGTCTATCATAACCCACCGTTCGATATGGCGCCAAAAGTCCTCAACCGCTCCACTCATTAACACCATCTCCCATAAACGCTCATTCAACCGCCATGGACGCCCCTTCTCGGACTCAACTCGCCCTTTAATATACCCCGACGCCATAAATAGCGAGCACAATGATCTAGCATCATACGCTGCCTACGCCGCCCGCACAGGCCTAGACGTCAAGTCCACCACGTACGTCGGCACGCGGTACGAGTACACCGTAGCCGACTCGCTCGGCGCCCTCGGGTTCGACCTGAAGCGCGTAGGCGGGCGCTCCGACTGCGGCATCGACCTGCTAGGCACGTGGCATGTACCCTCCTCCCCAGGCCATGCCCTCCGTGTCCTCGTGCAATGCAAGGCCCAAGTATCGCAGAGCTCAAAAATCGGCCCGCATCACATACGCGAGCTCGAAGGCACGTTCGCGGGTGCGCCGCCAGGATGGCGCGGCGGCCCCGGCCTTCTGGCATTCCTGGTCTCCCAGAAGCCGGCTACTAAAGGTGTCCGCGATGCGATGGCCACCAGCAGCTGGCCTATGGGCTATGCCTTGTGCTCGCAGGACGGCGGGCTGGAGCAGATGTTGTGGAATAGCAGGGCCGAGGAGGAAGGGCTAGAATCAATGGGTGTTACTATCAGGTTCTCTGATAACACTGCCAAAAAGGCCGGGAAACAACTGACTTTAACCTGGAGGGGTAAGCCATATCTTGCAGGACCAGTCTTCGGTAAATGAACCAGCCCATGCCTTTATATGTATATTATGACTGGGATGAGTGTTCGTCAGAAGTCGAAGGGGAAAGGAAAAACGTCATTCAACCACACAAACCCAGTGTATTATAATATCCTATGTATATAGTTCCCTGTCGTCCGACTATAAAACTGTCTACTAGCTATAAATATGTATAAAGCACCCATAAGAATATAAAGCGACGCTGCCCCGATTTATTGCGATGGTGGTAAATATTTCCTCTTTATATAACTAAGCCGCAATATTTTATTCAGAATATAATCAAGATACCATCGAAAGGGCATTATAAAACCTATATATATATCAGGTACTCTACTAGCACCGAGAGTCACGACACATACAATATAGTCTCATTCTAGATAGACATAAGATATTAGAGACGTTGTATTAATCAACTTTCTTGAAATCCATATTCTACACGGGTAAACCTAAGGTCCAGTTTGAGCAGGTGCTGAAAACACCAGAGACCACGAGAACCACACACGAAGCATCATCTCCTATCCAATATACACTGACGAATATGCACAAAAACGCTCTTCGGAAACCACATCCAGTCAGGATTACCTATCCTAACCGAACAGAACCGAAACCAACCCAATCCATCCATCCATCCATCCATCCATATATTCTCTCCTACCTACCCTATAACTACCAAATCCTTACAACTAACTAGCCTCAATCCTCCCAAATCGCCACCTTCGCCCTCTCCGCCTCCTCCAGCCTCCTCTTCTCCGCCTCGCGTTCCTCCTCCTTCCTCTTGCGCTCCTTCTCCCTAACCGCACGATCGTACGCGCGCTGCTCCTCCGTCGGCCGCGGCGCCCGCACGCCCAGCGCGCTGGCAATCATGCGCCGGGCCACCGCGTCCGTCTTCTCGGGCCTCTTGCCTTCCGCCCCGGAGCTCTCGCTGCTGCCGCCCCCGCCCCCGCCGGGAATAGACTGCCACGGCGGCGTGCCGGCGCTGTACGATGGCGAGCTGGGTGTCGGAGGGGGCGCGGTGAAGCCCGAGCCCTCGACGGAGGGGGAGACGGGGGACTGGGACTGGGCGGGGGCGGGAAATTGGGGTTCCGTGTCTGAGGGCACGTCTTCGTCTTCCCAGGAGTCGGCTACTGGTGCTGCTTTCTTGCCCTTGGATTTGCCTTTGGGGGCTGTGGAGGGGGGGTTGAGGGATAGGTCTGACATTGCTCGAGTGGCCATGGTGGGATAGACTGGGAAGTCTGATGGGAGTACTGGGTGCTGGTGTTGCTCCTCTCTAGGTTAGAGGTGGTGATTATCCACAAGGCCGGGATTATCACCAGCGATTTGAGGTTCAATAATAAGGTAGCTAAGCAATCAGCGTCACGGCTCGGTTGTAGTTTTTGCGAAGGGTACGTGATGCCAGTATGCAACGAGCCCAATTGCTACCATACGACGGGGGGCCGAGTATGTATGTAAAGGTGTGATCTGCCCGGAAAAGTCGATCGAGGGTAGCAATTGCAGATTACCTCACAGCAGGAAGGTTGGACTGACATATGCAAGTCTGACCCTGCTGTGAGACGAAAGCTCGGGGAACCCAAAACCTAGATCATCAAAGGTGGGGCTAACCGATCCACTTCCCCGCGAACCCGAATGTTGCACGGGCTAGGCGCATGGACCTTCGCTCATATGTTGCTTTTCTCTCGAGAAGGCACGTCTGTTTCGAAACGCACGCTTGCCATTGTGTGGTACCTACATATTATAGGGTGTCTATTGTTATATAATCGAGGTCTAACAACATCGGAACCACTGCCGATATATTTAAAGATATAATATATACGAAATCAAATGTATGAGAGTTGAAGGCGAACGTTGTCGCTTTCTCTCAGATCACCTCTTTCGCGAAAACTAGTGAACTTTCAATAAATATTCTTATCAGGAAGGATTAAAACGAAATTATAAACCATAGCAATGAATAAGGATAGTTAGGCTGTAAGTTCCATAATTGGAGTACAAGGTTATAGGAATTGCTCTCGTTTTTTAATATAAGTAAAGTATATGTATTAGTAACTACTAACTAGTTATAGTTATTAGTTATTGGTAGGGCTGAAAAGATGAGTCTACTTCTAGACTCATATTTAAATTGTACGAGTAATTTACGACTTTCAGTTTCTACTTCGGTAACGCAGGTGTTTATGAATAGGCATTGAGATCTTGTTTATACAAAGCCAGAAAGATAGCTCTGTGGTATAAGACAATGGTAAAACAAGGGGAAAAGTTCATCAGTATTACTTCCAACTCGGTTGGAATAACCCGGTACCTAAGCATTCCCGCGTCGGGATATCACGGCTTCACGGGCCACACAAACAAGAATAAGTAGCTTTTCATATATCTTCATATAGATCTACCCCTACACCCCGTAGGGCGTCTACAGCCCATTTCGGGTAATTAGCTTGATCCGGGTATAAGTTCGCGAAGAACCGCCGCAGGAAAGCCGGATACTTATCGGCAATAATTGCCTCCCTGACCCGCTTCATCAGGTCCAGCTGGTACCAGACATTATGCATGGTTAGTAAGTGCGCAGCTACCGTCTCTTTAGCCGTGTTGTGGTGCACGAATGCCCGGGTGATGCCCATCCCGTCCTTGCGGCAGCAATTACACCCGCAGCCATCTTCTATAGGCCCGAAGTCGTTGGCGTATTTGGCGTTGCGGAGGTTGAGGACGCCGTATTTTGTGATTGCGTTTCCGAATCTGGCTGTGCGCGTAGGCCAAACGCAGTCGAACATGTCGGCTCCCAAGGCGACGCTGACGACCAGGTCCTCAGGATACCCAATTCCCATCACATACCGGGGTTTCAGCTCAGGCAAGAGCGCGGTACAGGTAACTACTACCCTGCAGTAGTCCGCCTTTGCCTCGCCACCGCTGAGTCCACCGATGGCGATACCCGGTGTATCTCGAGCGACCATCTCCTTACAACACTCCCTTCGCATATCAAGGTCTAATCCGCCTTGGATAATGCAGAATAGATTCTGTGTGGTTGGGTTTTTATGCGCGGCGATGCACCGATCTAACCATCTGACGCTGCGCTCCATTGCTTCTCGCATCCGTACAGCGTCTGGTGAGGTAGTCACTAATACGTCGTCTAGTTGCATCATGATATCGCTGCCGATGGTATTCTGAAGAGATATGGAGTGCTCAGGGGTAAGAAGCATCGGCGTGCCGTCGTGGGGACTCAAGAATCTGACACCCTCTTCTGTGATATTGGCCAGCTTGAGTAAGCTAACCATCTGGAATCTATTTATGACATGTTAGCGGTTAAGTTTTTCTGTAAGCTAGACTTCCCAGTGGCATACCCTCCGCTGTCTGTGAGTAGGTTGTAGTTCCATCCTTGCAGTTTATGTGCCCCTCCAACTGCAGTAAGTACCTCCTGTCCAGGCTTTAGGCCTAGATGATAAGTGTTATTCAGACACAGACGACAACTGGTCTCTTCCAACTGTTCTGGAGTTAAGCCTTTTAACGATGCCTGTGTCGCCACAGGCATGAAGACTGGAAGTTGGACTGGTCCATGAGGAAGAGTTAAGATAGAGGCTCGTGCTCGAGTTGTCTGGGGTGGTGGTCAGACTAAGTTCTAACCCGATATCTTATTTTATGTTCACTTACGGAACACCTCGCGACGAGATCGAATGTGAGAGCCGCCGAAGACGATGAGGCTATAACGCTAGTCATCCTGCTCAACATCAACACTACCTGGTAGACGAAGCATTCACTGATTTACTGATAGAATTGCTACGTCATTGGATATTGGATGAGTACCTAATGAAACCAGGTTTATCGGTCCCTGACTTATTAGTAAGTGGGGTTAATTGCATGAGGCTGCATGCGGAAGTAATTAATTAAGCGGTCGAGTCGAGTCTTTGGTCAAAGGAATTTGGATTCTGGAAATTATTTTTCCATTTTCATCCATGTCCACTTAATGAGAGGTCATAGGGACTTGGGGACTTGCTTGGACAGATGAAATTTTAATTTTATTAAGTGGCCTGTGTGTCGGTATGCCCTTCCGGTCTCGACCTGTACCTACATAATAGCTGACCTATCGCATTTCACCGATTTCGCCGATTTCTTTGTACTACATTAGGTACATTCATTTCTAGGCTTTTCCCGGCGGCCGTATATTCGTTTCATCGATATTTGTATTAGTGGCTCAAAATAAGTAAATCGGTATAGCGTACCTAATGTATGTATATATGACAAGAGATACGCGAATGTAGGTGTAATAATTTAGGTAGTTGGGAATAGGTAGAAAGAAGTTGTCTTTCTACGTATCACCTACATCATGTATTTAATCTACACACGTATGGATGTCCTTGCAGTGTTTTCATGTAAAAGCTTCGATACAGCAAGTATGACAAACATGTGACTTTCCCTTACTGGAAAACTTTATCACAAGTGGAAGCCATTGGGCAGAAGTCAGATCGTACCGCGGCAACATCCTTTATTTTTGATGCCGGTAATAGGCTCTCTTCTTCCTTTAGTAAGGATATCCCCAGTAATATCCCCCAGCACTTTTCAACCTGCTTCAGCCCTTTCCCACAAAGCCTCGTGGCCCCCAGCAAATTCCCCCCCCCAAGTCGCGGGAGAAAAAATAAATAGTGGGCTGTGGCCTGACAGACCCTGTAAGTAATTCCGAATTCGGGAACGATCGGGCATAAACTACCAACGACGCGGCTCCTCTTGAATCGCACCTGGGCCTAATCTGCTAAGGTAAGAAGCAAAATTTTGTCACCTCCTTCCTCGACCTGCCACCAAAATCATACGATCTTGACATTGTTAGACATTTATGGAAGGGGACTCGGCCAGTCCACCCGCATTTTCCTCCTGTATCCTCCTGTATCCTCCTATATTTTCCTGTCGAATGAGACGCTAGGGCGTAAAAAAAGACAGTTCTAGCCTTTCTTTTCTTACCTACTCCTGTCTCATTACCACTAGGTTATTATGGATCTGTTGGATCTTGAGACTTGTGGTAGTCATCACAGTATCTTTTAGGCGTCGACGACGTTCTGTGCGTCTTGTGCTCCGAGATTCCTCCTTCATTTACACGCTATTTTCAACCCGCAATCCGCAATTCGCAAAGATTCGCCCCGGCTATATCTCGTTCTCACGAGATGCCTTCCCCATCTCCATCTCCATCTGCGTCTCCATCTGCGTCTCGGTAGATACAATAATTACTTATATTTCTTGCGTCATCTTGACCCCGGAAAGGCCGAGCTTAAGTGAGCTGCAAGTGAGCTGCCTCACTTGGCCTTCCGGTCGGTCTACACTACCTACTGTCTGTTGTCTATGTGTGTACATAAGTGTGTGCTACCTACTGTAAAACCTGGTTGATAGGAGATTTATCGATCAACAGCTTGGCAATTCGTTACGTTCAAGTCCCCGGACGATCTGTTTCCTTGGCGCTTTGTTTTTTTTGTTGTATGTGTACAAAGCTGTGCCCAATCCAGTGTCACAGGCCGCAGAATTGCATCGCAGGACCTATACGACAGGGAACCCGTCTTGTTCAGCGTACTTTGGTATTTTCCCTTTAGCTTGGGTGCTTGGGTCATGGGCCAGTGTGGATTTTTAATTTGAATCAAAACCCTTTCCCATGCGGCTTAACCTCCATTCTTCATATATACCTGATTCATCCTACGTAGCTTTGATCCCGTAGTCGTGTCGATTGGCATTGTCATCTTCAACTCATCATCTCTACCTTATAAGCTTACGGGCGATGTCGGATCAGGCCTCATTTACTCTTTTATCTCTGTTGCCTACCGAGTTGAGGCTCCAGATATGGCGGCATACCTGTCATCAAAGGGTGGTCGAGGTTCTATACGATAGTCAGACTGACCTATGTACATCATCAACGGCGCCGCCGGCCGCACTTCACGTCTGCCGAGAGTCACGATTCGAGGCCTTAAGAATCTATAGGAGATCCTTCGGCACAAAGTCCCACGAACCAAGGATATATTTTTGCCCCGATATAGATATACTCTACCTTCCTCGACCTCCCTTCATGGGCTATGACGACGCCTTACGGTCTTTTACGGAGCTCGTCTTCGGCATCGATGATACCGTTAACCTTGCCCTCGACTATGTTAAGCCTGATATCAGACGACCATGGGAAACTTACAACAAGTACGCCTTAATGCAGAGCTTTCCCAAAGTGAAAGAAGTCGACTTAGTCCTGGGTGCCGACTCACCGGCAGAAGAACACGGCCACGAGGATATAGGACTGGTGGATCCGACAGGAGACATATTAGCCTTATGTCGCCTACTTTCCGACATTAAGGAATCGTTCTTGTTTGAAGTTGGTTCTAACTACACGATTGGCGACACAAAAGAGGACTTCTTCGAGTACCCTGTTTTGCCCCCCCTGGTCTTGAAGTCGAAGATCACTTGTTCTCATGCCTAACTATAAAATCCGGCCATAACTACGCCGGAAAAGTCATTATATATTTACTGCATATTCTACAAAATAAGCCTTGAAGTCTGCAATGTAATGCAAGAGCTTTGCTTCGTCGCGGCTAACCAGAGCTTTCTGTTAATGAGCATATACCTAATGAAATATAATTTATCAACACTCTTATGCCGATTATCCATAATCGCCATATTGCTACAATCCCTGCTGGCCTTTGTCATGGTGTTCGAAAATGACATTATTTTGTGCAGTCAAATGGAATTCTTCGTTATACAAGTGTCGACCATTATAACGGCCGCCTTTTTCAACACAAGAACGCAATGCCTAAACGGAATTCTAGGTATAGGCCTGTCTAACTCCCGTCTAAAAACGGCTTACATATGTATGTATTCTCTTAGTGATTTCATAATGACGAATTATCTATCTACCCATCGCTAGTCAGTTTCGGTGTTCTCAATTGCTAACGCTATACTAGTTTATATATTGATATAGACATCGCTAGCTCTCAATAGGCTATGTAAGACAAGGGCGTCGCTAGGCCGAACGCGGATGTCAAGGCTGAAGGTTAAGGCCACACGGATAATCAGCTTTGAATATGGGGAGAACTAATCTGGGGTGACGGAGTACGGTCGGGTGACGGAGGACGGTCAGGGAATGGTCCGGAGGCATCGTCATATTTATCATCGTATGTGCTGACATCAACAACCGCGTGAATACGGAAATCGTCACATTCCCCAGGATATCCTCTTTGATTGCTATAGACTCGCCTTTCTGTCTTCTCATCGATATAATCACAGTTATAGTGTGTGCTGCCAAAGGCCCATAACTTTACGGCATCTGCGTCGATCCACAGATGCTGGTTTGTCAAGTCGGACGCGTGTTGGTATTTTATGCCCTCAGGATCTACCAGGTAGGATGGCCCTATAGCTTGGGTATCTATGGTCGGACAATGGTGTGTGAGGATGATGATAGAGCGTTGAGGATCTTCGTGTGCGAGTGCTGCAACTTGACGCGATAAATAGGACATGGTATCGAAATGGGCGAGCCTATGTTGTTTAACGCTAAAGTCGATCTGTACCTCGGTTCGATAAAAAGCATCGGTGCGGTGTCGTTGACCGTAAGGTGGATCAGTGAACAGCGTTGCGCCGAGGATGGTAACCTTTTCATCGGGTATGTCATATCTGCTGTTGTTAAGGAAAATGAACTCCCCCAATGCCGAACCCATAATTTCCTTTAGTGTCTGTACTTGATAGCAAAACTGGTCGACCGCATGTAAGGACACCTCCTAGGATGAGCCATTTGCCTCCTTAGGGCCAAGTACGTAAAAGATGGCTTTGAACCGGTAGAGATGGCGCTCGATGAATTCAACGTATTGTCTCCAGTGGAAGTTCCAGTTGCCAATATCTCCGAGAAGTGCTAGATACGGGGCTTCTGGGGGGATGCTGAAACGTCCATAGCCCTCGTCGTGCTCCAAGTGGAGGTCTGACATGATCTGTATCCGGACCATAGTGACGGCGAATAGGTTCTTATATGACGATATGACGATATTACGCCCGTGTCGATGTGGTCTAGATTAGGTAGCTGATGAATCAACAATGCAATACTAATACAATGGACTCGCTGGGCGAATGCTATGTCTCGAGAAAATAGCTGTTGAAAAGCCGTGTATGAAGACGTATAAGAAAGCGTGGGACCTTTTAAGATTTACTTAAGGATCAAGATACTGAGAAGTAAAGTATTCAGCTGCGAAACACATGAATACCTAGGTAGGTATACTTTCCTTCCATCTTTACTCATAATCGGTGTAACTTGCCAATATTGAGTATATATAGGTATATGAAGGAGCAATTGTAGCTGCACTTTCTCTAGCTATAGGCAGTTATAGAGATGCGGGTTGAAGGTATTAAGAGAGGAGAGAGAGAAAGTGCATCTTGTAGGACCAGCCTAGACTCGAGAGACCCCTGAATATGTAGATGTAGGTACCTGCCATCAGGGTAAATGTGGGGCGATAACCATGCAATTAGCCGCACTTGCAGATAGAGTTTCGTGGAGGGTGGAAGATAGCTGTGATATGCCCCGCGATTTGACTCACACCTTTAAGAAAAAAAGCCGACAATCGTAGCTACCGTACCTAACCTTACCTACCTAAGGTAAGGTACCGCCTACTCAGCTATAAACTTCTATTCTTCAACAACTACACTACTAGAGACAAACCATCTTCACCATCTCCTTTTCCTTCAAACTTATTGCTTGACGCAAAACTCCGCGCTATTGTAGTGCGCTCAAATATGGCAACAATAGCAACAATGGCGGCAACCATCAGCCAAAATGAGCGAGAGATACCTATTCGCAACAATCCAGATCTGGAGTCCTTCGAGTAAGCTCCAGCTCCCCCACGTCTTTCTCCAAGCCCGCCCACTCTCCTCCACCAAGGCGACGAGTCTAACAATGACCCCTTACCGTCACCAGTATAGTTAGCACCTACGAGAAGCTCCTCGCCGACGACCCGGAGCTCACGATGCCCGTAGCCGCAATCGAAGCGCTGATCGAAGCGCTCAGCCAGTCGTCGGCAAAAACCGTCTTTGAGACTATGGATCTCATCAAGACGCAGTCGGCGAAGCTGCGCAACGCCGTGCGCAACCCCGTCGCCCTGACCCACGGCACCGACCTCTTCCAGCAGTACCTCGTCCTGTCGCTTAAGCAGCCCGGCCCGGACGGCAAGGAGACTAGTAGTCACGAGAACTTCGAGGTTGTGCGCCAGCACCTGATGAAGAACGGTCGCTTGTTTGCCCAGCGCGCGAAGCAGGCCCGCGAGCAGATTGCGACTGTTGGACGTGCGTATATCCGCGACGGGTATACCATTTTGACCCATGGGGGCTCGAGAGTCGTGGGCACGTTGTTGGGCAGAGCGGCGGAATCTATTACGGGGGATGCTCGGAGGCGATTCAAGGTTATACATGTGGTCAACGAGGCTCGACGAACCGAGAGCTTGAGAGTGGTAGCTGCCCTGAGGGCGAAAGGCGTCCAAGTTGCGACGATACCCGAGTCCGCGGCTGCTTATACGATGGGCAAGGTTGATATGATCATAGTCGGTGCCGAAGCAGTGACCGCAAACGGCGGGGTTATCTCGAGAATGGGAACGTACCAACTTGCCTTGCTGGCCAAAGCTCGCAACAAGGACTTCTTCGTCGCCGCCGAACAGCACAAGTTCGGCAGGACGTTTCCCTTGGACCAATTCGACCTTGGCTTCGACCAGGGTATACTAGATTTCCACGCAAAAGACCACGAGTCAGGCGACAAACATGCACAAATAAATCCAGATCCCGTGGATTATACGGTACGTTGAGAAGGATTCTACCATTGACGTTTTTAATCATCCGTTTGCTAATACTGACAATGCAGCCGCCGGAATTCATCACGTCATTCCTCTCAGACTACGGCGTCCTCACGCCAACAGCTGTGGCCAAGCAGGTTATAGATCTGTTGTATTGAGGTTTCAGCCAATGTCGCGGTAAAGTAGGTATTTTGCAAGCCAGGTTTTGGACTGTGTAAGTTTCATATCACAGGCGTACATATCCTATCCTATCCTATGACGAGACGAGATACGGGATTTATTGCCAACATGTCCCGTTAGCTTTTGGCTAAGTGTCACAAGAAATTATTGTTTACACGGACTTGGAGTTCAGTGCCCGAGTCCTGGCATTTCTTGTAGACTGATTATAAGCCTCACAACCATGGCCTTTATAGGCGGGCGCATTGTGTAAGGGTCTATTATGGCATCGATCTCCTTGGCCGGGCGGAGATGATGGGCCATTGCAATTCATGATAGAGAAGATACCATTGGCACATATTATGGGCTTATGTAAGTAGTGTACACATTGGTTATGTTATGATGGACGATTATCATGCTGTATGAATAGCATGGACGTCCTGACTAGCATAAAGGCAAACGGAAGAGAAAAAAAAGAAAAAAAAAGGATTAGACATGTATATGAGACCACCGTATAAGATCGTGACTGCAATAGGAAACTCATAAATTCAAGTGAGTGAGTAGCTTTTGCCATTTTAGATACACCGGTCCAATGCGAGGCTTTTGCTTTTCGGAGATAGGTACACTGGCAACGCCCACATACCTCCACCTTTTCCTTCCTCAATGAAAGGACGTTTCTTTCTTCTCCTATTGCGTTCCCGGAGTAAAAGGGACTCCTCGTAGATTGATACTGTACTATGCTAGGTGGATAACTACCTACCTACCTAAGTTGACTGCAGGTTATTGATCGGATGTTGAATCCGCTCTAGACGCTGCGGTAGGTACACTGACTGTCCCAGTGTATGAGTGAGTGGACTTTGGCTGGATTTTGCCAGTTGTTGGAACTGCGTTTGTGTCCTGGACTACTATGGTAGACGGTCTCACTAGCTTAGGTAGCCTCTTCCCTAGAGGTCGCGGACGAGCCTCGCGCCGACCCAGGCGTACAGGTAGTTGCGCTGGTACCAGTTTACACTGAAGCAAACGACTTATTAGTATTTATCCAAAATTTATAGGAAGGTTATAATATATATATATATATATATATACGAAAACGGGTTTATAGAGAGATAAAGACAAAGAGTTTAGGGGAATATAACATACAATGTCTTCCTTCCCGCGATACGAGGGTGGGTAGCCCAAGATCCACCAAGTACGATATTATGTTTCTCGTCGAAGAAATCGGCTGCAATTTTCTATTAGTACACTACTACTATGAGATTTAGGAGGGGGGTTTTTATCATACCGGTGTACCCCGGATAGAGGGCCAAAGGCTGGAAGCCCTCGTGCGGCCTGAGAGGGGAGCTGGTCCACTCCCATACGCCTCCCATCTCAGCCTGGCCTGCTAGGCGGTTGCCGTGAGCGGTCACGGCCACGGGATGCCAATGGCGGAAGCCCACATTAGCATCGCTGAGGTCGATGAACAAGTCGTCATTTTTAGAAGAACCGCCACCGACGGCCTGCGCAGTGCTTGATGGTGGAGTTTCCTCGACGCCGTCATTGACCAAGTGGCTGGACACATCATAGTTAGCCAGCATTCACCGCCCCTATATCATAGGGGGAGAACTTACGCATTGACTGCTGGGACAGTGCTACCCAGCTGGCGTTCTGCTTCTTTCCTCTTCATAGTATCAACGTAGGAGTAAATGCTCCGGGCCTCCTCGAACGTGGGGATCCGGCCTCCTAGCCATGTAGCACATCCCGAAATTTCATCATAAGATGCATGTACTGGCCAGTCGAGCGCATACTTAAGCGGTACCAGCCCGTAAACGGTACGCACGCTCTTACCCTCCAAGAATGACTGAGGGAGAGCTCGCTGGCCATTGGCTCCGTTGGTGTGGCCATTGTTATGACCGTTTATTTCCTTGGCTTCATGGTCATTAGAGCCATTCTGGCTTAGGCCTTCGTTAGCCCAAGAGGCAGGGGGTTTTGTTGTCTTGGTATTGTACATGTATAGCGCGTACTACGACGGGTTAGAGCTATCTCTTCTTCGGTAACAACGAAGCTCACCTCCTCGTTGGTAATAGGCCTTCCCTTAGCTTGGAAGCTATGTACTCGTATGCGCCTAGGTGGCTTCTCATTATCCCTATGAAGTGGTTAGTATAATTTTCGAATTCAGTCATACTCGTAGCACTAACCATCCGAAGTGATTGGTTGAGTTCTGCACATGATCAGGGTCGTCGAGTCCAATTGTGAGCTCTTGCTCAGGTATATCAAACCAATCATTGCTGACTCTCGCCGTGTAGGCATCTTGAGCTAGAGCTTCGAAGCTCGGCCGCTTTGTATGAGGCGGCGGGAGAGTCTTGTCACTCTGTAGCATCATATAGAGTAGTGTCTCCAAATGCATGATTTCATGCTCGAAACCCACCCATATAGCTCGTCCGACATTTCTAGGGATATTCTCCAGACCAACGGAATAGATACTTCTTAGCCTATCTCGTACCCGTCCCTGGTACTCTATGATGTCCTCGACAGGTGGCCATTCGTCTGGGATTTCCGAGTGTTGATGGCAGATTTCCGGGTTATCAACGTCTGGATCTATCCCTCGCTCGAAGATTGAGGAGTAGAAAGCTGGCCCTGTAAGAGGATTTTTTGTGGCCTTGGTCAATTGGATATCAAGGAACGTTGGGGTATGACCAAGGTAGAAAATGCATGCATTCCGAAGCTTGATGGGTTTGTCTAACAGTTCCTCATTAGGTAACATGCGTCTAGTCACAATATCCCATGTATTCCATAGACCCTCGAAGTCCCCCAAGGATGGGATATGAGAGCGGGCATATTCCAAAGGGTTAGGGCTAAAGGTCATGTTTGGCTTGGTTAGAAGATGAAGACCTAGCAAATTGTCAGTTAACCTGGTTTGACGTCCACTCGAAAACCCACGAGGGTTAGGGCCGCCCCGCATTTAAAAGCCATGATCGATGTACGCAAGGATATCGCAGGCATGCCTTAAAGATGGCAAGGTCTCCTGACCGGCCTCACGTGGACTGAGACCTGCATGGCATCTTAAAACGTGGAGAGGACCCTGTTTATTCGTACGATGGGATGCGATAGAAGTAGGACAAACCCCATATTCCTGGGGTTGGACAAAGAATTCGTGGTCCACTCACCGTAGTCTTCGTCTTCGGTCATCCAGCGATCAGCTTCGATCATACCCGCAGACCGCCATAAATTTCTGCAGCCCTCTTCTGAGTACTTCAGACTCTGCTCGACTTGAATACGTTCCTGGGCCTTGATCGTCTCTCCCAAGACCACCGTGTCTCGTGGTGGCGAGTAGAATGCTCGGTGGCGTCCTCCTTCGATGTCATAGACATATTCACCAATGACCTGCCAGTCATCTAGGTCAAATGTCTTATGTCCAAGAACTTCATTTGCATGAGAGAGCCCATTCAGGAGGAACCTTGGCCAGTCAGCACAAGGAGAAAGCGGAAGGATGTATGCATTGCGTCATTCTTCACTGACCTATGCGTGACGCCGTGTCTGTCTTGAGAGCAGCATATAGGGTTCAGTATAGCTCAATGTGGATTTTCAATAATACTAACCGTTGTATGCGTGACTATTTGTTGGGCGTCAGAAGCCTGATAAGTCTTCAAGTGAGCATGGTATGGGACGTTCCATGACTTACTAGACCTTGGGAGGATCTGTGCAGGAGTCCAACCCAATCAGAAAGCTATCCGCTGGCTGGAGAACATCGGCGAAACCTCTCAGGAACGAGGCTGCTTCGTCCCGGTGGAAGTTACCTAATTAGGCTGGTCAATTGCAAGGGATCTGATTTGGCGTCTATATGTATACGGAATATGCTCGAGTTCGTACCAATGCTAGATCCGAGAGATAAAACGCATTTTCGCTTGGAAGCGATCTGCGGCCTCCTTAACCATTCACGGCCGTCATCGTATGTTCCTAATAGTCCGTGACACCGGACGTGACGGAAATTTGGGACTTGAGCCAGAGTTCTTGACAACTCATCTTCTGACAAATCAAGAGCATAATAGTCGATCTTCTTGCCGGCGTCGTCAAGAGCTTGAAGCAAAAGAGCCACCTTCCTCAGGTTGCTAGCCAAGAAGGTTAATAAATATTGCCACCGAGTTACGAATATGGTCCCATAACTCACCCGCTGCCTAACTCGAGCACTAGAGATCCGGACGGAATTGATTTAGCAATGGCGGTAGCCGAACGCCGCAAGACTTGGATCTCATGATTTGTTAAGTAGTACTCTTCTAAATATGTGATCTGAAGTTCCTGTCAGCGCCAGGTGCTAAGTGTAACTGTGTTCGTCTAACCTCTTCAAACAGCTGTAGACCTTTCTCGTCATACAGTAGTAAGGTCGGCAATTTCCGGGGCCCCTCCTGAGGGCGCAGTAACTTATGGATTTCCTCTTTCAGGTTAATTTCGACGGCGGTTTGCCGTATGTCGGTAATATCAGCATTTGAACGTCGTCCCGCGGTTAGACTGGCGCCCTTTTCTAACTTGTACTCCGGGTTAGGTAGCTGAGGCTCATACGGTGACTCGACAACGGATGGCATAGCTGCTGCTAACGATGATAAAATTTCCTTATTACGCAAGAGATGGTGGTTGCTAAGCTTAGAGGGCAGTTTACACGTTTCTGCAGGGGTGAGGATATCGTAGGTAATATATATAAAATTCAATTGGGACGGTTGTTAAAGTCTGAATGGCGTAACATGAGAGTTACAATACAGGAATATGTACCTACTTAGACCTAGTACAAAAAGCATATTGTGAGATGTGAAGCCGGACAAACCTAGCTGCGAGGCCACACTCTCTGCCGCTAGTAAGGGGAGCAAGGGAACAAGGGTAATAATGGTGATGTCAGTCGGGGACTAAGGGGTTGGTCCCAGTCAGCCCAGTCTAGATGTGGTTGGACTAGCGATGAAGTTCCCAGGTACGTCAGCCCTAAAGACGTTCGAGCAAGCTGCATCCATGGTGGCCATGCTGGGATATACTATTTGACTACCACGATATGTAATGTGTTGTGTGTTGTATGTGAAAAGGCGGATGGGGCTCGTATCTATCCACGCAGCCACGTCTTCTTACGGTAGGATGATACGGTAATCCGGGTTGCCAAGAAGGGTCTTAGGCACAGAGGCGGCAAGCAAGTGAGTGTCCCGGAACTTGGATAGTTGAGAACTGAGGAGTCGGAATTTGTTTTGTCATAAATTGCTGCAAGTTAAACTAGGCCATCAACTATGAGCGTGGGATGTTGAAGGAGAATAACAAATCACGGGCCAGAACAGGGACGACAAGGAAAAGCCACGGCTGTCCCGGCCCCGCAATGAGAAAGCTTTGAAGTGGCCAGTGCATATCGTATGGTACACCCGCACCGCCGATGGCACGCTTTACCGAATCAGGCACCTTATGTACAACCGCATCGCACTACTATTCCTAGTTCTTACCTTAGGTACCTGGTTTGGGTACTTACCTGCCTATGTTAGGTAGGTAGTTCTTGCTATGTAACTTACATAATGACTAGTCCCTACATACCGTATCCTGTTGTGCGACAAGAACGCTGCAGGCTCCTTCGCTGTCCCTTACCTACCCTTACCTATAGGTAAGCTACCACGGGTGTACCTTAGCTCGGTTCCGGTTCCTGGTAAAGACGTTTCCTTACGGTGGGAAAATGGATCGAATGTTCGATACGGAATACCTACCTATACTACAAGCAACATTCGGAGTGCATTAATATATTGGGCATCGGGCCTTTGTTTTACGTACAAGGCGTTGATAGACCTTGTCTATAGGTATATTAATACTTGCCTTGACATATATTATGTAAAGGACAAAGTGATGACGCGCATTCAATCATTATTGCATTGGGAAAACGCAAACCACGACCTTTTTATCCCAATAGTACGATGCAGTACCACCGGGGGGCACTTCCACGTTTGATATTGGACGTGACTTACCTAATGTATATACATTATGTAAGTAGCATATTGACCATTTAATTACTGATTACCTATTATTCTTCATAGAAATATACCTCCGGACCGAGATGTTCCTCGCTAGTAACTACGTCACCTATATGTGACCATGACCTGACGATCTTTACCGAAACTCCCCCACTTTACCCCTCAACAACCGAAAGAGCCTCCCACACACGTGTAAGTCTATATTTGGCGATAAGCGACAAAGATTCACGGGCGTCATTTACTGTACGGCCCTAGCAGCGTCTCGCGAAATGCAGCATTATATTAGGGAGGTGGCATTGATAGACGGCTGGCCAGCTGATCATGGGGTACAGCTCACATGATTTCTAAATTGACCATTACCTAGTTTTTGCCTAACCCAGCGGCCTGCATCTTCTGTGTCCAGTGTGTCGAGCTTTCCGAACTTTCTATTGCATCTTCTTCCTACTTAATGGTGGGACAGTGCCTGGATGCAACCCCCGACTGCACGTCAATTGTGGGGAAGTGCTTTCCCCCGTGACACCCCCAGAGTACTTTTGTAACTTTTCAGCTTTTCTAGTCAAAAGTACCGAGGTACCTATTCCCTCTTTTCCCTCTTTTACATCCCGTCGGGCAGGTTTTGTTTTTTCCTAGATAGTAAGCAACCTGAAGAGAAGAAAAGGGAGTGAACACCCCCCATTTGTTCTTGATGGAGCGTCTCATTCTTATCTATCGCAATGCGACTTCATCATTCTTTGAGGTTTGACAGGCTTCAGTTTTTCCGCGGCACCCTCGGCCACCAACTCAAAATTTACGCAGAGCAGCAGAGCAGCAGAGGTGAACCCTCCAGTCGAGGCAAACCTTCGGTCTAAAGACTAAAGTTTACTGGGGCGCGTGAGCGACTTTCGAAAGTGGCAATTATACCTGAAGGGAAATAAGGAGGGTTGACATAAGTTGTGGAGGGCCATCGACCCTTAAAAGACGTTAGCCTCAATATTGAAGAACATCAGCTAGCCTGATATCAGCCGACATTGAGATGGTAGGATATTGATCATGGGATGCCATTTTACGACTTGTAATTTTTGAAACCTGCAAGCTGCTCATCTTGCTGGATAGTTACCTGGCCTGCGTTTTAATCTAACCTTGGCCCGTTTTTAGGTTATCAGAGATTGGCATTGGGTTGGGTTGACAAAATGAGAACCTCGGCTTGGACTGATTGTCGTGTGATGACTTCTTACCCTATGAATTGTTATACGAGAAGTTCGGCGGAACATCCTTTCGTGCGTTATCCTTACTAAATATTCCTATGATGAAGGGTATAGAGCGAGTAGAGGACCGTATCAAGTAAGCATTATAAGCTGAATATAAATCAAGGGCTGAGTAAGTGCTCAGGAATATATACGATACCCGTTGGCTATAAATATATAAGAAAGCGGCAATGAAGACTTGTGAATATTACCGGCCCTATAAGGCCTTCTAAGGTTAAGATTGAATTAACGTAGAACATAAATTATTGGGACACACTGTCATGGTCCGACATGGAAACTCCAAGTTGATCTCATATGATTATAGCGAATTGAATAATAATATCACTTAGACAGCGTCATCGAGATTGTTTCTAGTTATGGGTAAATTAAACAGATATAATTAACATAACCGCAGTAGTTATAGTTATACTATAGTATAACACCGTTTGTCTGGCCTATCCTCTAAATTTACAAGGCTACAGCAAGAATGACTCTAGGCATGTTTAATAGCCCGCCCCAAAGAATCGGTATATCATTAACAAGTATATCTAGATTGAGATATCTACACCCCTGACCCACTATACCCTGACAGGAACTATGTAATCGGCGTTGATGTACGGTTATATCGGGGATGTTAGAAGGCAAGCTAAGCCACATTAAAAGTCATATCATATATATTTCAAATAACATGGAAGCCAATACGAATTATAACGCCTGGTGGTGAAGAGGGAACACGCTCGGTCACAGCACACTTTTAGGTAATAGTCCTAGATAAGATGTCGAAGTCCGAGAGATCGTAGGTTCAATCCCTACCCGGGCAAACACTTTTGCCTGATTCCCTTTTGACCCGTATATTTTTATATTCTATACATTATTAAGTGCGTTGGATATCTTTCTTTTAGACCTAGCTAGTATGATAATGATAAGAATGAGTTGACAGATGATTATATTAGATTATCTTTAGTTATCGACTGAATATAAGTACACAAGGCGATCTAAGCTGGTATTAACTTCTGGATAGCTTTAGCATGATCCCTTTCTGCTTACACTATATCGATTGCGCTGATTATCAGGAATAATATAGTTGAGGTCATAAAGACGATCTGGTCTGCTGGAATTTTATGAGTCATCAACCTCGACCTCCCATCAAACGCAGTCATACTCAGAGGTAATTTATCAACTAACAACCCGACTTCGGTCTATGATTTATGAATGAAATAAATCCCAAGCCCGGTTACTGTATTTAAGTTCTTGCCGGTTTCACGGGCTCATGCATACATGTTTAGGGGTATAGCAAATTCCATAATCTAACCAACTACCTAACTACCTAGGGATCTATAACAACTATGTCAACTGAAAGCGAGAGACCTGGTACATCCGAATCCGCTTAAGCGCTAGTCTCAGAAGGAGGAGCGCCGCTCAGAGCGCCACTCGGGAAATCGCCAGGCGCAGTCCCATTCCCACCAGGGCCAGTTCCATTACCGCCCTCACCGCCGCCGCCGACGGTGTAGCCGGTCGAGTGGCCGCCCTCGGCATCGAGGTATGCAGCTGCAATTTGTAAATTAGCTCTCACATGCTCATCATCCCGTCTCTTAGGCGTGGATTAAAACTTACCAATTCCGTAGTAGTCGTCCTCGGTGTAGTCAGCAGAGCCGTTGATGCCGATCTGGATCCAGGCGAATAGGCCGTCCTCGATGGAGTCGCCGAGGTAAACGAACTGCGGGAAGGGGTCAAAGGACTCGTCGGCCTGGAGGATGGACCACATGTCTTCGTCGTTGGTGGTCACTTCCACCGTGTTGGTGTTGTACGGGTATGTCGCCTCGACTTCGACGCGTAGCTCCTCGGGCCAGAATAGCTGTCCGATGTGACTAACTGGCGCATTCCTATTTTTAGAGGTTAGCAATGAATTCGGGGATAGACGGCTTTGTTTGTCACAACTTACCACACGGAGATAGTACCGTTGGGGTTGACCGTAGCATTGGTATGCGACAACAAGTGCGTGTGGACAGCACGCCCGCTATAGTGACCAGGGAAGATTGTCTCGAAGCTGGCGACACCATCGGAGTCTGTCAACTGGATTCCTCGGAGATAAGTAGAGTTGTATCCGCCCTCGGCGTAGTTTCCGCTAGTTGAGATACCGCTGTAGACACCGGTGGCATTGCAGTTCCAGATATCCACTGCGACGGCAGGCATGGGTTCACAGGTGTTGACGTCGATGTACTGGACTTCAAGGAACAGGTCGATACCGTCACAATACTTGTCCTCCTTGACGTTGGATCGCATCTTCTCGCCGACAACATAGTACGGCCCGTCGGTGATTTCAGGGGCCAAGATGCAGCTAGTGTTTCCGCTGAATACATCCTCGAGCGAGGTGAACATGTCGTAGTCGTAGGTTCCCGTCATGTTGTGGTTGACCTTCTCCCAGGCCTGGAGATCCTCGAGGGCTCGCTTGTTCTTTCTCGCGGCTGTGAAGGCCCTCATTAGTTTAACACACCTTCTAGTTTGATGTTCGGTACTCACTGGTCTGGATGCCGCGCTTCTGTCGGATTTTACTAACGGTCTCGGCACGTCGCTGGATCGAACGCGCCTTGAGCGCTTGTGCGGAAGCCGAGTTTGAGCATGAAGCCAGCGATCGAGCGCCGAGTTGGGCCGCATTGTCACGGGCTACAATCTCACGCTTCATCTTGTGCGCGTCGTGCTTCTCGCCGGGATGAGCGGCAGCATAGCTGACAAGAGCCGTGAGGGCTAGTTTGGAGAAAGCGACCATGATGATAATGATGATGAGCTAATAGGGGGTTCTTCAAAAATGACTGACTGTTACCGAACGACTGGATACCTGGAGGATAAGTTGCCTAGGGATTGGTGATGGGTAGAAAAAAAAAAAGGCAACAGAGACAGCGACATGATGGTCTTTTAATCTTGACAGTAGAGGCTCTATCCGGATGTGTGGTTCTCTTCTAGGTCCACCCGACGACGACTGAGGACATCTCTATTCGTAATGCTTTTCGTGAATCCTAGTGCAGCATCGTCTTCGGTGACTTGGCATACCAAAGACTCTCAACAATTTCTAACTTTTTCCATTATAATTGTCACCGTTGACCGCTATAGTATGCTCTAGACTTAGCCTTTAAAGATGCCATTACGCGTCCCCTACGTAGAGGTGAATATTTTGAGATATGAGAAAAAGCTGAGCCTTGTTCAAGAGAGTTGCGTACGCAGGGAATAGGGGAATCCTAGTCATATCATCTGCCAATGAGGAAAGCAGGATTTTCAAATAGCTCGGACGATTCGACGATTCGAGCACCGTGACGGTCTTCTAGAGCTGAAATGCTTGAAACGGGATGTGGATGGGTTGACGAATCCGACCCACGGTCCCACATAGACTGGTACCCAATATCCGCATTTCGGTAGTTATAATGCATAATAGCCCCTTTCGAGTATCTAAATAAAGCCCATATAATGAGATCTGTTTCCGTATTTTAATGTTTAATGTTTCGTGGAGTGACTAGGTATTCGTATTGCGCCACCTATGATCGCGTCAAAAGATGAACGCGTCAAATTTTTCATGAGTCGTTGATGCTGTGGCTTTGAGATACCTACCCGGGATTTATTTATATCTCCCGCATTTTGAACCGCCGCAAATAGATATGTGATAGGCTTGGGATACGGGTGCTTGCAGCCAACGAGCCCCGTTTGTTATGTGAAGATGATGGGCGAAGGCATACGTATATGTCCAACTCACCCAGGGAAGCCGTAGCATTTATATATATTCTCTACTATAACTCCCAGGTTCCAAGTGAAAACTTGTTGAGGTATATTCTGGTTGCTGTTTTGATAGAATGCCTAGTTAAGTATTAGATATTGAGAACTTTTATATGAGCTGTTATGCAGACATGCGCGATCGACATGCACTTATATATCCTCTCTAATTGCGATTAGTTGATACTCATGTATGACAAGACTTTATTAAGCAGCTCTTAATATGATTGGCTGAAATAACTTAAGTTGTTCCGCAAAGAGTATGTTCGAAGTCCTAATCGAAGTCTGATTGGCTACGTGCTTCTTAGTAAACCTTGGTTCTAGGTAATTTTATTTTCTGTTTTGTATTCCGTACATACAAGTCGAATTTATGATGAAAGCTCGGCATAACAAAATATTAACAGAGAAGTCCGCCGTATGCTGCGCCGTTATACTCAAGAGCATACCTGTACATAGAAACAGACAATAGCATGACACTGTTGTGTAAGGAAGGGGCAATGCGGCGTATAACAATCTATTTACAAAGTGAAATTCCGGAATTATCCCCCGGGGGAGCATGGATGTTATAATACTAACTCGAGTCTCGAGAATGATATCTACAATACTTGACAGGATATAACAGGTACCGAACTAAGACATCTATAATCTTCCACTCCCCTTATCATACGAGAGACTCAAAATCGTGGCATTCCTAGCGCCTCTCTCCTTCCAGTGCTCGCCGGGTCAAGATATGGCACTTCGCCGGTCCCCGAAGCCCGTACGCCTGTCCTAATACCCTCTACGAGATGCGTATCAGGCTGTTATAAAAATAGACATTAGCACCGAGCAGAAATGGCGAGGTAGGTACTCACAGTAGCAGCATGCAAAGTGCACGCATTGCTCCAAATCGCACAAGCCCCCCTCGTCCAATGCATCCGAGCGATGCAATCATGGTTCCGCGTAATAAGCCTCAACACATAATCGCGAATCATCTGGTCCTCGTACGAGTACACGTCGTTAATCCGACTGACGTGCAGCCCGACGCCCGCGAACAGCGACTTCCACCCGGTGACGGGGTGCGTGCGGATCACGGGGTGCGACGGCGAAAACTCGTAGTCCTTGTTGAGCGGCGACCCGCGAGGCGACGTGACGTCGTACCCGCCGGCCTTGCAGGCCGACTCGAAGACGGGCTGCGCGCACGTCGCGGTCAGCGTCTCGAGGAATTTCTGGTAGGGAGGGGATAGGCGGTCGTAGAGCTCGTAGCCGGATACCCAGAGGGTGTCGCCGCCGGAGGGTGGGGTGTCTTGCATGCGCAGGAAGGAGAAGTCTGAAGGGCAGTTCTCGAAAAGAGCTACGAGGTTGGAGTTAGTAGGGTGTCCTAAACTGGGAATAGGGGGGCGAGGGAGCTTGTCAAACGTACCGTCGCTGTGCCATTCCCGACCTAGATCTCGAGGCTCGCTAGCTGAGCCGGGACGGTTCTTCATTGTGGCATATAACTTCTTGGCCGCCTCGGAGTTGATGACATAGCTGAAGTTTTCTCAACGCTGGCATATGGACGGGGGTAATTTCCTTCAACCTACATCTGCTTGTCGGTGGTACCGTCTGCCATGGGGAAATTGTTAGGGTCATTGTACAGGGGGTGCACGTGCAGCCCATTCTCGGGAGGTCGTCCCGTTAACTTGCCAAGCAACTCCGTGATGTACTTCTGCTCCTCGATAGAAAGATCGTCCTGGGAGGCTCTGAAGAAGACTACACCGCGCTCGCAGATGGTGATCGCAAGGTCTCGCAACTGTTCCTCGGCATTGGGGGCTTTCAGTATGTCCTTGAGCTTCGCGGTGGGGTATTCCCGGCCGATGATAGGGGTGCTATCGACATATTCGAGATGGTCAATAGACGACCCCTTCTTCAAAGGCTCTCGTTTGAGCTTGTTCATAGGAAGAGAACCCATTTTGTGCAATGGATAGTATAATATATATTTTCGCTCTATGAAAACCGCTAGGGATTCTTCTAGAGAACTGTTGAGTGACTAATGGGAGTGTAGATTCCGGTAAGCGAAGGGGAACCGGCCACTTATATTAACAAGATCATAGCTGACCTACCGATGAAACCGGAGGATTCTTAAGCTACCCTAATCTATGGTACCGTCCATCGCTTAACCGTCTGCCGTTTGGGGTATGCGGGGGTAGCTAAGGGGCTACGTCAATTCTGGACATCGGCAATGTGAATCTGGGGAAGTTTGGGGTTGGGATGCGGAGATCGCGTACCAACAGTTCGCCGCAAGACACCCTCAGGTGAAGACCCGAGGGTCGGGATATGTAGTAGTGCGTCTGCTCTGTCAGGATGGGTAATTTATCGCCCATGGATTAAGGAGTTCTTCAAGAGGCAGCCCGTCCGCCTCTCATCATCGACGGGATTCTCATCATTTTCATCTGTGTCTTAGCGTCAGCAAGACATATACCACTGCAACGATGGTGGCCGCCGCTATATCAGCAAATCCGCTGCAGCTGGATATTCGCAGTCATAGAAAGTGTCTTGCAATTTGCTTTGTTGTCACCATCTTGAGCTTTCAATATGGCCTTGACTATGCCCTCGTCGGCGGCTTTATGGCTATGCCTGGCTTCTTGAAAGTCTTCGGCTACTACGATGAAGCGGCTCAGAAGTGGGCCATTGACCCGACTGTTCAACAACTTATTTCCTCTCTGATGACGATTGGAACATTTGTGGGCTCGCTTTCGGTTGGGCCATTCAGCTCCAGGTTTGGGCGACGACAGGGGTTGTGGACAGCATCTCTCCTAAATTGTATCGCAACAGCAATAATGATTGGAACGACGAATCTCGGTGCGCTATACTTTGCCCGTTTTGTTCTTGGTAAGCCTATAATCTATAACTAAGCCGAGTTTAGGAGAGGACGTAACTTATAAGCGTATAGGAATCTCGGTCGGCTGGTTTCTTACTTTCGCTCAAGTTTATATCAACGAAGCGGCACCCGCCCACCTTCGAGGTATTTCTTTTGCCGTATACCAGAGCCAACTCTCTATAGGTTCCATAGTCGGGGCCGCTATCGACTATGGCACTCACACTATGCTCGGCAAGGAAGCCTATCGAATCCCCCTTGCTATCTTCTTCGTTGCTCCGACCATCCAGACGATCGCTATGTTCTTCTTCCCAGAGTCTCCACGATGGCTCATGACACAAGGAAAAGATGCAGAAGCTGAGTCGGCGCTTCGAAGACTCCGAAACAGCAATATTAACGAGGATGAGTTCCAAGCCGAGTTTGAAGAAATCCGAACTTCTACAGCGGCGCAGGCAAATCAATTCAAGGGGAAGCACCTATGGGTTGAGATGTGGAAGGGTACCAATCGGCGCCGATCTCTCCTTTCTGTAGCTGTTATCTGCTTCCACTGTGCTAATGGTACGTGATATCCCATAAAAGAATAGAGTGCCGTGCTAATATTTACCTATGCACAGGTTCCTCTTGGGTAAATACCCCTATAAACCTGTGACCCAGGTACTAAGACTTGACTAACCTCTGTTAAACAGCTGAATATTTACACAACTTACTTCCTCACTGTTGCCGGAGTAAAAGAAGCATTTTCGTATTCGACCATGATAACCTGTATGGGACTCATCGGCGTCTTGACAAGCTTCTTTGTCGTTCGTCACATTGACCGCCGTGTTATTCTTCTCATCGGAGTGGCAGCGTGTGGTCTCTGTCAATTCGCGTTTGCGATCGCTTGGACCGTGGCCCCCGGAACTGCGGTCATCGCAAAGGTGGTCATCGCCTTTATCGCGCTGTTCACATTCTTTTATGTTGCCTATGGTAAAGAAGCCTATTTACATTTTAGGAACAGTTTTCGCTAACTTTATTAGCGCCCTATGCTTGGCTTCTAGGAGGCGAATTGCCTAGTAATCATCTCCGAGCTCATACTTACGGCGTATCCACCGCACTCAACTTCCTTGGAAACTGGCTAGGTGTCTTTACCGCGCCTTACTTCATCAACCCAGCCAGCCTGGGATGGAGTGCCAAATATGGGTTAGTAATAGTAACCTCATGGTCGACCTTTTAGCTAACAGTGCGACCTAATAGATATATATGGTTTGGATCCAACATGATAGTGTTCCTATTCACATGGGCATTTATGCCTGAGACACGCGACCGAACCCTGGAAGAGATAAATGAGATATTTGAAGCTAAGGTTCCAGCTCGGAAGTTTAAGAGATATATCTGCATGGGTACGGAAGCTGTGAGGGCAGAAGTAATTGAGGAAAAGAACAGAAGCACGTCTCGTGCAGAAAAAATAACTCGGGAAGACGCATAAAATCATTGAAGTCAAATGGTATTTCAATAATGGCGGAATTGGATTCATTTTCTCTAATGTTAGGACGTACGTCGACGTCTTACCGACGAGGTAATGCATAAATAGCCCCTTATGCATTTATTATCTGAAATTCTAGTTCAGCACTTGGAATCCTAGTAAGAGAAGTTCATATCTGGACATTCTCCCTAATAAGGTAGTTAGTGGTATATTTAACAGCACCATACATAGATAAGTAGCGATAGGTACGAGTGTTCCACTATGAATATAACGTGCCCGCTATGCTATACCACTCGCCACCGGCCCTACATCCGCATAAGCTGCTCTTAGTATGGCTGCTAGAAGATGGGGATGTCCTATTTGTTGATTACAATGAGAAGACCACCGTATCTCTTCGCGTAAAACAACTTACAGTCTTCCCCGACTTAATAAATAAAGCCAAGTTCACTTGTGGTCAATTCACTAGTCTTTCACTCGCCAAACTAGGTACCCTTTACTTTCACCTGGACCCCTGAAACCCTATATTCCACTATCGGTGGTAACCAACTAAATGTCTTCCGCATAAACCTTTCTAAGCCACCTGAATCCTCCCCAAATGCCGTTACCATTCCCCGTCTCCCAGTAATGCTCCCGCTCTCCGCCCTAGGGAGACATGTACGCTACCTACCTCCAGCCGAAGGACGTGGCGTAGTGATCCTGGGCACTTACGGAGCAGGTTTCCTGTGCGTAAAACTTCAACACAAATCACTGCAAGCCAGGCGCCGAGGTATCGGTAATTATACAAACAGAGAATTACCAGATTATGCGTGCTCGGCAGTAGGCTTTTTCGTGGACGAGGAGGGAGACTTGGGTGGGCGGACCACACTCAGCACTGAGGGACAAAGAAAGAACGGGGAAGTTGACATAATGGAGACAAGTACAAGAGAAGAAAGATTTAGAGACATAAATCTGACGAGGAAGACGGAGATTTTTTGTTGGCGAGATGACGTTGATTAAAAGGAATTTGTGATGTATGTGATAACCCGGTTTCTTTTAAGGCAAGCGAATAGGGGATATATTGAAATGGCTCATTTTTTGTCGATACGGCTACATAATAAAGAGTTAGCTTCCAAACCAAGCACATGAATGTAATGAACGATCACTCCTAGCTTTGCGGCTTGCCTGACATGAAAATAATTAGATTTTCGATGGATCTATGTTACAGGAACGAGGTGTATCAGCAATAGAGCCACAAGTTACTATTTATACGCGTCTTTCGAATCACGTAGCTAGGACTTACTGTTGTGTTGACTAGTTCAAACCACCATACATCGACTCCCCTTTTCGATAACAGTCCATTGGACCACCTAGAACGTTACTGATCAAAATATTGCTCCTGTGCACACATGAACTTTCAGAAAGCTGAACCTATTCATGACAATATTCACTAAGTACCTAGGTATCTAAAGAGAGAAAACATTGCAACCTTAGGTACAGTACCTAACCTACCTACCTAAGGTATCATGCCTCGTACTGTGCCTTTAGCCCCTTCCCCTTAAAAAGGGACCTCAGGCATTCAACAGAATAAACTACCTAAGGTACTTCCGAAGGAATCAGTCGTAACAGGATACGGCAGGCACCTTCTTGTATTAAAACTGTGAGTCACTCGTCTTTAAAAGTTTGCACGGCAACACGTGTAAGTAACAGCAACTGTAGCAGCTGCTGCAGCAATATGTAGCAGCTGGCACACTACCGACAGTCCCTTAGGTACGGCAACTATCATCGCGGCAATAACAACAGACCGCCCGCCAGACGGCCCAGAAATAATTATATAAACGTCTCGCGCCGACTCGAAAGTAAGAATTTTCTTTTCCTTCTACAACACCAAACCAACTCAACACCAAACCAACTCAACAACAACAACAGCAGCAATAATAATAATAACAATAATAACAACAACAATAATAATAATAACACCACCACCAACAACAACAATAACAATCAACCACCCTACCTCTTAACCCTACCTCTTATAACTTACTTTTTGCTCAAGTCTCACTTCACGAACAGAGACGGCGGCTTCACTTTTGCAAATATAATTATTCACAATACTTAACTTACCTAACTAATACCTAATATTACTCTCTATCCTCACGTCAACAATCAACCCTCAGCCTACAACATTCGGGATAAGAAATATATTATACCCTAATACAACACATACCTAGGGCATATAGATAATACTCAACCAAACCTTCGTGCCTATCAACACGGCCTGTGTCTGCGGAGCTAGGTCGGGGGGTGAAGGCTTTAACAGCAGTCTATAATCTACCGTTACAACCTTTCAACATATAACTTAACAACTCCCATCGGCAACACCACGGCGGAGAGGCCAGTTTGACGACATAGTCAGTAAGGGAGCAGGTGGTGGCGTGGGTGACGGAGGATGAGGATCAGGATCAGGCTGGCCGTGTTGGCGCTCGTCACGCTCCATCTACTCTACCTGAGTATTGCTGTGCCGTCGCACTCCAGACGCCGTCATCCCCCCAGACGCCGCCCTCTCCGTCGTCGTCGCTCCTATCGCCGCCGCATGTGCCGCCTCCTTCAAACATACTTATCATAACACAACCCTCTTAAATCTAATCCCACCCCCGATTCGACGCAATAAACTAAAATAAAGCATCAGCGGCCAAAGGTAAGCTAACTAAACAAAACAAAACTGCCTTCACAAATCATTTAACTAACATTATATTCTCTAGGTTGCTCTTCTCGGACTCTATATTGCTGGTTCTAACACCTCGCCACACCCCCCACACCGGATACACCTGCCACGACACGACAAACAGGCTCCCCGGGTGACTATGTAATTCTTGCCAACCCCACCAAACCTCTCGCAACCCTCTTCACCCCCCTAAACTAAACTAAACTAAACTACAAGGGTTGAGCCCCTACGGCCAGACGGTGACCCCACCTTCATACGGGCCCCGGAGTCACTTTCAGTTCGCCAGAGAAATTCTCCCGTCATGGAGTTCGACGGCATGTCCGGGCTCTAGTCGCTTCTCTCTTGGTTCGACCCCTGGCGACAGTAAGGTGTCCGCTTCCAGCAGCAACGTCCATTACCTATGCCTATGGAAGGCGGCGGGCCCGGCGGTATTCTCGTCGGCGCATCGTCCGCTCCGCTAATTCGTCCTCTATGTATAAGGCAATGGAAGGCGGCACCATTAAGGTCTCGGCCTGGAGATGTTCGCAGAACTTCAGAAGTCAGGCTGGGCTACAACTACGATCGTAGCCAAGGGGCAGGCAGTTCTAGGCTCCAGCGATAAGGGCAAGACCAAGCTGCCGCTAAGGATGTCCTGTCGAATCTAGAGTTGATAAGAGGGACCTTCTCCTGGAAAGCCAGCCAGCTTAAGCTCCGGCTCCAGGAAGAGAAGGAAAGGTCTTCAAGGGATGGCTCCCTAGGAGATTCGAGCTCGCGGAGGTGTGGGCTGTTTGCTAGGATGGTAGTACTTAAGGGGGGGTGGACAGATGAGGATGAAGACCAAGATAGGTTTGGGGAGCGCTATCACTAAACTAAACTAATAACCATTAAATTCCTTATGGTTTACTAAGTTAGGTACCTGCCCAAGTCCTAACGTACACCTAAACGTACTTATTGTCTCCTACGGTAACCACAGCCGCCCCAAGAGACTAAGCGCCGTCCTTTGGGTGAACAGGGAGCCTACAACCAGCTCCATGGGCACGGAGGGGCCAACTGAGGCGACGCATGACCTTAAGTAGGTTTGGGCGTCTATGGTTTGGGCGTCTATGGTTTGGGCGTCTATAAGATATGCCGATTGAGTGAATCTCGGCAAAGCTGGAAAAGCTAATATGGAAAATGGAGAGAAAATCGAAATTACAGGCAGGGTCTCACACATGCATGCGGTCTCTAATGAAGCTTCTTGCTTCTGGTTCGTTTGTTTTGTTAGACACGATGCTTTTTCCATCACGCTCTTGGATAAACACATAGAGAAAAATAACAAGAACACATGCTACGTTATAAGATGGATTTTATTCTTTGTGAAGGACCGATAATCGCTTCACTTAGCGGTTCTCCCCGCAAGGGCCCCTGATTTATTTAACAGGATGCTTCTGCCTAATTATAAGTACCTTGGGTACCTAAGACATAATAACAAATTTGACTCCTCTGAATTGCCAATAGGCCGTATCAATAGACCAATAAGATACACGGTACTACCGGTGAAATTTACTATAGACTAAAGAATCAATCCCAAGCCTAAACACCCCCTTTATCCAATCTCATCCCATCCTCCTCCATCTCAACCCCCCCCTCTACTTCTTCCCCAGCTTAGCCTTCACAGCTTCCACTTCCTCCTCGAGCGGCAAGATATCCGGCAGCGGGCCCAGCGGCGTGATAGAATGGGGATTGATCTGCGTATGGCTGCGCGTGTAGTGGTTCTTGATATGCAAGAAGTTGGTCGTGTCCTTGAACGCGGGGTGCTTCCAGTACAGGTTGCGCGTGTAGTCGTGCAGGCGCGGGTACCCCGATCTGATGTCGCGGACGTTGCACTTGAAGTGCTGCACGTAAACCGGGTCGAACCGGATTAGCGTTGGGAAGCTGATTGATTCTTGTGTTAGTTACCTACCATTCCTATACATACATACCTAGGGAGCGCGTCTCTGGTATTGCCGTAAAAGGGGTAAGGGGTAAATAAGGGGCAAGAGGAAAAAAGACCAAAAACTCACAGCCTAACATCCACCTCGGTCAACTTATCCCCCAAGAAATACGGCCCCCCCGTCTCCCCCAGCTGCTTCTCCGCCCTATCCAGCGCCTCGAACAGCGCCCTAACATTCCTCTCGTACGCCTCCTGGGTCGTCGCAAACCCGCTCTTATACACGCCGTTATTAATGCCGTCGTACGTCCACCCGTGCGCCTCCTCGATCTGCGGCCGCAGCGCCTCGGGGTACAAGTCGACCTGGCGAAACTCGGGCGGCAGCTGCGCGTCGAACGCGGTGCCGAGCATCCGCAGGATCTCGCTGCTCTCGTTGTTGACGATGGTGTCGGCTTTCTTGTCGAAGAGCACCGGCACCGTGAAGCGCCCCTTGTAGTTCGGGTCTGCTGCCAGGTATACGTCGCGTAGGTGCGTGTACTTCTCGTGTCCGGGGACTGGGTCCGGGATCACGTTTTCGCCTTCGGCGTCCCTGTCTTCCGGGGTAGGGAACCGCCATCCTGTTGTTGAGACTTTAGTCCTCCAGCCGTGGTGGTGGATATATAAGATAGTTTCTACAAGCAGACGTACCCTTCTCTCCCATATGCCAATGCACGCTAGAGAAAGAGATGAAGTCCTCCAACCCCTTAAGCTTCCTTGCGATTAGGGTCCGTGTGGCCTGCGCATAATCAGCCGGTTGGTTCCTCGCGCGTCGATATTCAGGGGGAGCGAAACAACATACCCAGGGACAAGCATAGCTGACGTAGAGATGATACCGGCCCTTTTCAGGCGGGAACTGCGCACCGGGCTCCGTAGAAATCCAGTTACGAAACGAGCTGCTGGGACGCTTGAATTCGCCGCTGGTGTCTCCGGGCTGGACCCAGTCTGTGATCTTAGAAGCCTAGTTCCCAAGTTAGAAGCTATTCGAAATCGAATTAGACCAAATCTCACCATCCTGATTTGCTGTTGTATATGCTTCTTCACGGGACTCGATGTTGAATCCGCAACTATGCCTTTATACTGTTGTTGCTGTTGTTGTTTCTTTCCCCAGGTTGAATTGGTTCTTATATTCAAAGTTAAGTAACTCCCTCTTAACAGTAATCCAGACCGTGGATAAGTTGAAATTAAACGAGGAGTAATTATATTCATAGATGCGGGGAACATCTACTTTTACGATCCCCCAAGCCTAGACACCTTTTATAACTTTTAGTATTGAAGCTTTCTACGTAACGAAACAAGTCATCTTCAAATTAAATGTTGTAGAAATGACGTGCGCTATGTAGCTTCATTCAGCTTTGTCAGAATCTCCCCTTACTCATGGCTTATACCACGATTACACATCGTGACGTAAAATAACCGAGTTGTCTTAGCATGACTAATCAGCTCTAAGTATGGAAGTGGAGTTGAACGGGAGCTATCTTGCATGTGGAGAAGTTCATAACTCCAACTCTACTAGGAACTCTACTAGGAAGTACATAGTAGACGGATCTTACAAATGGGGAGACTAAGCAAGCTGCAAGGTACCAGAAGATCACAAATAAAACTAAAGAGAGAACAGTATACAAGAACTAAGACGGTCAATAAAACGACTTGGATAAAAATAAGTCTATTTGCGACTATGTAATTCCTTCGAGCACTTGCGGCAGAACCTACAATTAAGCTCAAAAAGTAAGTGGTGCACTAATGGCGCATGCTAACCCCCTCCATACAAGACATCTATCCTCATGATCCCTAAAACTGAATAAAATGCGCGTGTAAAAAGCACCGCATAGTGCGTGGTATACCGGGCAGCTAGTCATCTAGCGGATCTAGCGGACCTTTACCTTGATGTATGGCACCTCCACGTCTTCCTCGTCCAAGTCCTCAGCCACCATCTCGAAGATGAGCTCCTTCTGGTGTTCCGGAATGGGCTTCTTAGAGACGGTCTCCACAAGCTGGCTCAGCTTGAGCGGGTATCGCTCCTTTAACTTCGCGGGCGGGAAGAAGCTGGCGTAAAGCAAGCTTACTCCCGAGCTTAGCATGCTAATGTTAAGACCACGCTTTTGGAAGTCGGCCAGAAGCTCCTTTAAGGTTATATCCTCAATCTCAAATCGATCCCAGATCTTGTCTAGCGTGACCTTGCCGTCTGGTCCCTTGTATTCAACCTTAGGGCTGGCAATGGGCTCGCTGAAGCCAAAGAACGGTAGCGCGAGGTTGACAAACCCGTTCTTGTATTGCTCGATATCATCTTTTCCGTCGATAATCTTGTACAGCTCTAGGATGACAAGACCTGTGACCAACGCGGTCGTAGTGGCAATAGCCGGGATGATCTTTCCGGCGATGAATTTTGTCTTGTGTCTATCGGCCTTTTCGATTTTGTAGTTATCAGCTCGTAAGTTGCTGGCTGCTGTGATGAAATCAATATGGTGATTGGTGTCGTCGTCCTTCTCGAACTCGACGGGTGTCAACTTAAATCCGGCCAACTCGCTGGGCGCCGGGAGGCTATCAATGATATTCTCTATCTCGGTGCTATCGTCAAATGCAGAAGCATTTTTGTTAGAGTTTGGATCCTAATAAAAAAGGTTAGATGTGGCTCTTGTAAAATAAGAGTTAATGAATTGTATACACTTACAGGATCGCTATCGTTGGCCTGGATCTTGACACCCGGATCGGGCGAGAAGTCAGGAACGATCATGTTATCCAATACCTTCAGGTAGAGGTCCTTGCTCACACCCTTAGTCTTGATACCATAGTTGAATGCGTGGAGGTTGGCAGCCGCAACGATGAAATCGAAATGAGTAGGATTCTTAGGGTCAAACTTCAATGGGTCCGGGGCACGTTTGGGGCCGGACCAGAAGGGAGTGCCGGTGGAGGACACGGAATCTTTCGGGAAGTTGTAAAGGAGCTGCTGGATTGCGTTATTGTACTGCTTCTCGAATAGCATTCGCGCCCAGATGACACAATCTTCAAAGCTAAGAGGCTTATCTGTTACAAGGTAGTCACGAATCGTCTCCAGAGTCGGCTTCTCGTTACCGCCTTGCTTAAGTGTTGTGTCGAGATAGTTGGGCTGAGACAGATACAAGTTGACTGTTTCGGCAGACTTCACGAAGGACGTCTCGAAAAGCTCCCGGGCCCACGCAATCGTGTGCTCAATCCTGTTCGGGAAACTTCTCAGGGTGCACATAGGGAAGGATACCTCAGGCGGGTCCTGAGATGACGAGTAGGATTCAGTTAGCATAGGGAGGACCACTTGTGTGTTTCCTTTGGTGCCGAGAGTACCGCTCTCGAGAAGAGGCTTGTGGAAGAAGACACATCGTCGGTCAACGTAAGTTCGCGCATCTACGTTGTCCAGAGCATTTGTGACTCCATCCAAGGATTCCCAAAATTCCTTGTTGAAAATGTGCTCCGTTTCGGGGCTGACACGGTCTTTTAAGCATTCGATGTGGCCTACGAGCTCCGGGTTCATAGCCTGTACGGCTTTGGCAGCGCAGTCACTCTTCATCTGGCCAACATCCTTAGGTCGGAACAAGAATTGACGGTTCAGATTGCTCTTCTCAATCGAGTCCATGTCGGTAACAGTAATCTTGCCCTTAGGTCCTACACCTAGGCCAATCATGGCCCAATTCTTGAGCATTTCGCAGCCGATTGCACCCGCACCAACAAGGAACTGTTTGACATTCGCGATCTTGTCCTGGAATTCTTTACCAAAGACTGCGATTTGACCATCGTATCGAGATCCAATTGGTTTGCAGAGCTCCTCGCTTCGGGCACAGCTAGTAGGAAGAGACTCTAGCGAATCAAAGTAGAACCACTGTTTGATCGGATGGAACTTTCCAGAGACAGCTTTTAGAACTTCCTGTGCAGCGAGGCCACCGAACAGAGCAGCCATGGGGTTAAGATCTCCCTGAGCCTGGTAGCTAAGTTCCTTAATAAGCTTCTCGTCGACCTCGAGGTCCAACTTCTCCTTTTCGATGAAGGCCTTGACAGATGCGACGACAACAGCAGCATCCTCCTCGTTCTTCGGTCGGGGTAGACGACCCTGGGACTGAGCAAAAGCGTGGAGTGCCTCGAATCCGACATGGAGCTGTTGGGGTCGGTCGAACTTGGCGAAGTCGGAGATAACGAACTCGGGATCACGGATAGCCGCAGAAATCGGCTTGAAGTCAAGGAATTTGGGCATCTTAACCTGCTGATAGAGACCTCCGCTCTTGTACTGACCAAGCCCGGAGACATCACCAATAGAAAAGGTGTAGGGACCCTTGACCGTTACTTTTCTCGGTTCGGCGCCGTTCAAAGCCTCCATACCCTCGATTTCGGAGAATGTAACGTAGTCGCCGTCCTCTAATCCGTGTCGAGTCTCGTCTAATGCCGAAACTAGACCCTCCTCGTCGATGCCAGCCACTATTCCGTTGACTGGGTTTTCGCCGGTCGCGTCGAGGCATGTGAATTCGCTGCCAAAGTCGCAGAAGATCGAGCCGAACAGCCCAAAGGTATCCGCAACTACAAAGTAGATACCTTTCGAGTGGCAATAATCGCCAATAGCTAGCTGAAGGTGGAGAGGGGTGTTGGTTAAGACAACAACTTGGTACTTGTCAAATTGGGAGAGGTTGTCACCGAGGCTGTTTAAGCTGTGGTTAACTCATAATGCTATCAGTAGGGTGGTCACTCAACATACCTAGGTGATTGATGGATGCTGACGGGTGTATAGGCATTCAACTCGGCGACACGGGGAGCCGTGACAGCATCGCGCGGCTTCCCAACATCATCTGGGCGGAGGAAGAACTGAGATGATAGGTCGGCGATGGCAACGGGTGTGGGATCGTGGAGGGTTAAGCTCTTGACACCAGCAAGAGCTATGTTCTTGGAAATCTCGACGCCGAGGCCTTTTAAGCCAACAACAAGCACGTTAGATGCGCTCATACGCTTCATGGCCTCGTGGCCGAGAACATATAGCTGTCGGCTGTAAAGTGATTCGTCGATCTCGGTTTGGCCAACGACAGAGTTGTCGACCTGGACTCGGGTGACCAGGTCGACCTCGGGAATGCCAGAAGCCATTTTGGTATCCTGTTATACGGGTTATACATCAGTACTTTGGTATAAGCAAACAGATGGTCATTCGAGTCTATGTACGAAAGCCGTCAAATAAAAAAAGAGAGTAGCGATGGCGCACGAGGGTAGTAGGTGAAGAAGATGGTTGTGCCTACTTACGGTCATAGTTCTCTTAGGGGAGAAAGGCAGATCTCCGTTCTCGTGTTTGCGCTTCCCCAGTTTGGCGATATTTGCTCTACTGGAGCTTGCTTCTATGATACGTATGAGATGCGATAACGCAGAATACGGGAGTGGGGGGAGATAGTAAAGGTTAGACGAGGCAATGATGGGAGGATCAAAATGTACCCAAATGGAAGAAACCGACAACCCCACCACCAATACCAACAACGAGGCTACCTAAAGCTGATGGATCAATCAGGTGGATAGATACGAAATGACGTAGTTGTTAACTGCCCAAAAAGAGAAGTGCTGACAATATAGTGAGAGGAAAAGACCAGCTTTAAAAAGAAGGCGGTCAATGTTTAAAGGACACTTCTTCGAATAGGTTCGAGTTCGTACGGCGACTGCGGTTTAACAGGAAAGGTTACTAAGATGAAGTAGAAAGCTCTTGCAGGTTTCCATAGAGCTAGGTAGTATGTAGCAGTTTGCCCGCCGGGTGCCTGCCCGACTTGAAGTATTGGGGCATGATTTCTCAGCAATCATGCGCCGTCATGGTGGGGTTAAACGTGGCTCGGCACCTGCAAAATTCAGGTACAATGGGTACCTAATGTATTGTACCTATTGTACTTCTCAGAAGTACACCGGGTGTGGCGCATTAGTAAACTCTTCTTCACGTTTCCATAGAAATATCACCGCGACAATGTATTGTACCTACATATACGCGAACTTCTTTCAAAAAGGCAGTTTAAACTCAATTCATTTTCCCATTATTATATTAATTAGAAATGCATTATTTTCGACCTTGAGTACCCAGGTAGCTAAAACTCAGACCACGATTCTCGTCCCATGTGCTTAAGAGCAGTGAATCAACTTGTAAGAGTATGAGAACTACAAAACACCATGACTTAATCTTGTTCCACCTGTTGTATAAACCTCCTTATTACACATATGTCATTCATGTGCACCTTCAACAAGGAAACGAATAAATGTCTTATCACGTCTCCCGACCTGGTCAAGATTGAACTGAGACTGTTTGGTTTAAATTCACCTCATTGAGCCTTAGATTAACACTAGAAGCTAGAATGACAACCCATTTGCCCTTAGCTAAACCCCCCCTTCGCAGAAAAGCGTCTAGTATACGCACCCTACTCTCAACCCCTAGATCATTATATACCTTATCTCATATGTATAACTGACTGCTCCTTGCCTCAGTCCAGTATGCGTCAGCAGAACCCCAATTAAGCCCCCATTAAGTAGAGTCCTCAACTCATTTTATATATTCCATAAATCATCAATCGTGTGTCGTTGTGACGGGTTTCTCGTTTAATGAGCGTGAAAACCTCGGGGGTATCGAATAATTATGCTTCCTATATCATGCAAATGCTAGGTCCCTGGTAGAACCATCATTCCTATACCACCGTAGTGAGTGTGAAAATGAGTAAGCCTGTCTGCGCGCTGTTTCACTGTCCTTCCGATACCATTCCATGCTACCTAACACGTAGTTATTAAGGCGATATAATACTACGGCCGAGAAATCTAATTGGCCTGAAGGATGGATGCGAATCGAATATTTATAGGGTTTTTTTCTTCTCTTGGATTATTAGGCTAAAATATTAAGTATGTCTCTGAGCGCATCAGAGAAAGAATAATAATATAAGGGCGAGGATGGAATTAGACGTAGCTCCACCGTTCAAAACGGCGGGCGCTCCAGCTGTGGAAACTGGGTTTGGTGCTGTTGTGCTACCCGGTACTGTAGCAGGCGATGTTACAGTAGGCGTTGCCGTAGACGTGGTGCTGCCACTTGCTGACGAAGTAGGAGCAGGTGCTGGGGTCGAGTTAGATTCTCCACTGCTGCTGCTGATGCTTGTTGCACTCGACGTCTCAGTAGAGGTGCTAGCTCCCAAAGACGAGGAAGTGCCGATTTCTGAAGAGCTGAGAGAAGAAGACGTACTCTCTGAAAAGCCAGAAGATGTGCTTCCCGAAGAACCAGAAGAAGATATACCTCCCGTTGGTCTAGAAGTAGAGGAAGCTGTGCTCTCGGAAGAGCTGATATGAGCAGATGTTTCTGAAGAGCTGGAAGAAGAAAGAGAAGAGCCCCTCGACGAGCTTAGACTAAGAGACGCACTCGTAGAGAAGCTAGAAGTAGAAGAAGGCAAAAACGTGCCTTCTGAAGAGCTGAAAGAAGACGTACTCTCGGATATAGAAGAACTTTCGGCCGTAGAAGACGACGTTTCAGGCGTAGGAGACGACGTGGCCGAGAAAGTTGGTGTGTTTGAAACTACACCAGTCGCGGTATTTGGAGGAGCTCCACTACCCGTAGACCCTCTAGGAGTGCTTGTGACCTCTCCTTCAGGGGCACTTTGGCTTGAAGAGACAGGACTAGGGTTTTGTACATCGCAATAATGGAGCCATTGGTCCCAGCTGCTCTCTGCGTAGTTCTTAGTACCAGCTTTCCATCGTCCCTTGTTGTCTACAATGCACTTCTGGCAGACTTGACGATATCTCATGAATACAGAATCTGTCCTGCAAAGTTGGGGTACCTTTCCAGTACTCTGGGCCTCTAAAACAGCGTTATTGCAAGTGGAATAGCAAGTCGATGGTAACGTCTCGTCGCGCTTATTAAAAGCCAGGAATTTCCGCACTATCGCCGCTGGATAACCTGGATAACTCGGCTCTGGCGTGCTCGAGGGCGGGTATGCCGTTATACTCGTCTGTGATTCATAGTCGCCCGTAGAGGTCCAGGTTACGGTAGTTTTACCCGAGGTAGTTAGTAGGAGCGGTTCGGGCTTGGGAGGATCAAATATTCCATAGCTTAACCCGAAAGCTGGCGGTGCAAGGTTAAAGTAGCCATCCGTAGGAGGAAAGTACCCTGTTTCATTATCGCACCACTGGGCGGTGGCATAAATTGGTGCTGGTATACAATAGCTCTGGCTCTCGCACACGTATTGTTCATTCGGAAGATCAGGCCAGATACTACACCCATTCGGCTTTGGAGGAGAACAGACGGTTCCAGGTGGACATCCCCAAGTCAAGTCAGATGAGGCGTTGTAAGCAGGTACGTTGAAGCCGGGAGAGTTAGTCGCCGCGGGACAGACGGACGAAGTGACGGTTGTTGGAGGTACTGTAGTGGTAATATACTCCGGTACTATAGTAGTAATATATTGCGTCGTAATGAAGGATGTAGTACTTACCACCGAATCGGTAACTGAGATCTCCGAAACGGTGAGGAACGTAGTAGTAGATATTACAGTAACGAACGATGTAGTCTCTTCAGTTGCAGTCACGGTAGCTGTGTCTGTAGTTGGTGAAGCTGAAACAGACACAACAGTTGTCGTTAGCGTGTTTGTAGTTGCTGAAGCTGAAATAGACACAGCAGTTGTCGTTAGGGTGTCCGTGAGCGTCGACAGAATGCTTGTTGTATATACCGAGATAGTTGTGTAGGTTGACGTGCTGTATTCAGTCGTGGTCAATGTTCTGTCGGATATAACCGTAGTTGGGACCTCGGTTGTGAAGGTGAAAGTAGCCGTAGTCACAGTAGGTACGAGAGACGTATAAGTTGTCGTCGTGGTCTCTATATCAGTAAATGTAGCGGTCGTGGTCTCCTCGTCGGTAGTAGTGGTGATAATAGTCTGGTTATTAAAACGCGTAACAGACGTAGTAATGGTCCTTGAGTCGGTAACGGTCTCTGTATCTGTCTTTGTGTCCGTCTCTGTGTCCGTTACTGTGTCTGTTACTGTATTTGTCTTTGTGTCCGTGTCCGTGTCCGTTACTGTATCCGTCACCGTGTAACTATAACTGACAGTATCAAATATGGTAGTAAAGCCGCTTTACCAAGTGTTAGCTACATCGCTTCGTATATAGCCCATAGTACTTACTAGACTGTAGTAGTTTCCGTTTCGTAGCAGATCTCCGTCGTCGTCTCCGTAGCCGTCTTCGTCTTCGTAGCCGTCTTCGTAGCCGTCTTCGTAGCCGTCTTCGTCTTCGTGATCGTTTCGTAACAAGTTTCGGTAACTGTTTTCGGTTTACAGTAGGTCCAATGCGCTTCGGAGAGAGAAGCTTGCGCTCTTATGAGCCAAGATATGGCAATGACCGACAAGGCCCCAAACTGACGGACCAAAACCATTATAGCGCAGATGAGCTTTGTTAAATTGGTTGTCTGCGCCTCGGAATGTCAAATGAGCTCCGATTTTAGGATATGTCTTTGTAGCGAGCGTCCGTCCGTCTATAGCGAGCGACTCCTGTATCAAGAGCGTGGCGGTAAGTTGAAGGCGAAGGCGAAAACGACCGACGAGGTAGGTGATTTGGAGCTCTCAGCTTATATCTATAAGCAAAATAGATACTGGAGAGTACCTAAGCGACTCTGTGGGTTCCCTTCAGCTAAAATCCGAACAGCTGGGCGATATTTCTATGGGCTAACTAGCATGGGGTCTAGTAGACTTATCCCAAACGATTCTCTTATAGCTGAACTTCAACGAACGTCGTCGGCTCAGTAACAGGCAGCTGGCATACCTTCCTAGCTCAAGGCTAAGGCGTGTCCTAATTGCTTGTATAAAGAGCTGCTATCTACGAGAAACAGAGGTAGAAACGTGGTTCCATGAAAAAGAAAGCTACGGGGTAGCTCTAAAAGAGGGACAGCAGCATGGATAAGGCTGAGAGCGAGAGTGAACGGGAACAGCAATGTCAACACGAGCCATTGGAATCGACAGGTACCAAGCTTAGTTGCATATCAAGTACAGAATACGGACCAAGTCTGCATGCGTAAAATCCCCACGACAGTCGTGTGCAACCTAGTACCCCTGCGAAGAAGAAAAAAAGCCCGCCAGTTGCATCCCTGGACACGATTGTGTGGAGGAGGGTGCCGATGTATTGTACATCGAGGATTTGTACCACTACCCCGGACCGCCATATTCGAGTTCTTAGCTAGCCGTCGCAGTAAGTAAAATAGCCCAGAATCATCTGCTCCAGGTACTGATAGTCTGCCTTGAAACACCACGAGTGACAGTAGAAAATGTAGAGCTCAAAATTGCTAGGAAGGCGAATTGCAAGGTGACATACGTTATTGAATAAGAAACTAGAGCAATACAGAAAAGCAGACAAGCACAAAAGTAGGTACGTGACCGAGTCCGCAATAAGCGGAAGCGGATGCCTGGTCGAGGTATGCAAGTTAGCAAGGCATTTGAGGGAAGAGGCTCTTCTGCAACCAACAGAGAGCAGCCGCACAACGCATCTAGCTACAAACCAAGTACCTAGCCAGGGTCTAGACAAGGGACGATAACTGGTCTAGATACCGAGCGAGGCATGGATCAGGATACGAAGGCGGGGCATGTGGTGTATACCATCGTGCATTGCGCATTGTACACTATACAATATATGTAATAGTCTCTGTAGCCTCTCATTGAGGTAGGTAGTTGCCAAGCCCGAGATCGTGCGTGAGGCGGGTCTCTTGGGACGGTACTGCAGGGGTCCTTGAAGGATGAATGGACGGATTCAACGTTCACTGCATCTTGTCACGTCTTCCGGAGCCAACGGCAGCGTACCCTAGGGTGAAGACTGCGCGAAGACTACGCAGTACTATCGTTCGTGTGCCTTAGGTAGGATTGCCACTTGTTGATACCTAATAAGAGGCTTGTGAAAGCAGTACTCGCAGGACCGAAAGAAGACCGAGTATTGAATCTAGCCAATAGGGTGGTAATGTCATCATCTTTGCGAAAACATTAACAAGTTTAATAGACTTGCCGCTCGTTACACAAATCGGCGGTATCGAAGCCTCTCTTACCCCAAGGTCGCTATGTAGGTCGCCGAGGGATGGACGTACTTGGCTATTTTCCCGGTTTACAAGGCACGACTTCTTGTATTTAAAGCCAATGTCCCGCGATTATGGGAATCATGATAGATCCCCTCGACTCCTTTAATCAGCTATACTTCGGTAAGACGGAACGTACCTAGAGCCATAGTCGTATAATGATGAAATGCTAACATATCGGTGAGGTAATTGACAGAAATCACCTCACACGTATGCGTACTCCTCGTATAGAGGATTCTCAAGAGACCGCGAGGTGTGCTCGGACAACCTGGAAGGCCACACACGGGAGGTGCCCAATCTCGAAGAAGCCGGGCGGGGTAGGTTGAAATCTCGTCACGTACATACGGGTGTGTAGTACCCGTTGTACTGTCCCAACCATGCGGGATGGATCAGACGTTAGGTAGAATGTATCGTGGTAAGCTTACCTACCACGGAGATGGACTGGGTTGTAAGAATCTCTTTTGTGCAATGTTAGTCTGTCTGTCTGTCTGTCTGTCTGTCTGTACAACTGTGTAAGTTTATGAAGACTTTGATATGGCGGGGTCACGCTACCTGAATAACAATATTAATAAAAAATAATAATTAGAAATTAGCACGTAAAGAGCTTAGTATGGTGGTACAGTTGAAGTTATGGATTACCTAACCTTTGCGGTTTGGCTACTAATTGGACAGCCGTATTAGATAATAGATCCATAACGGGCACTACCTAAGGGACTGTAGTGGGATTACATAATATCAGCTATACTGAGAATTACTGGGCCTTACCCAGTAATACTAGATTCGAAAATATTTTCTCCACTTCATCTTTTCTCTCTTTACTATGTATGTAAGCACCTCCAACAAAGCGGAATCTTCGCCAAGGTTACAAGTTACTTTATTTTTATTGTGCTAATACAGGGTTACTTTTAGTTCCAGAGAGTTGGGAGAGCCAGTTATTGTCTCCCATACGGTCATACGAGTAAGACCCGAAGACTTGTCCCCAAGTCCGACATTTAGACATTTAGCCTGGTTTGCAGCTTCTTTCTTCTTTATTGGTTGGCGATATTCTTTCTAATCCAGAGTTACCAATATGACTCTGCCGACATCGAATACATTCCTACACGTTCTCCGTGAAAATGGCTAGCTACGTAGTAGGTAGTTGGGTATATGGTATGCGGATGGATCAACTCTAAATATGCGCGGACGAGTGTCCAAAGTTCCCCTCATTCTGATTTTGAAGTCGTATCGACAACTCACACTTACCTCGACCTAAACCAATACGGTCCTACCCACCCTGCCACAATCGAGCTTGTCTGCAGCGAGGTTATGACTTCGTCCAATGAGAATACAGCAATGACATTCTTACGTTATTTACATGCCAATGGAAAGAAGCTATCTTTCAAGGATTATTCTTACATGTGTGTCTCTTAATCTATGTCTTCGACGTTCCATTGGAAGCTACCCTGGTCGTCTTATCCAATGTTAGGACTATCGCACATTTTATTGACTCTTACGTACAGATTCTTCAATATTATCAGCTCCAATTCTTGCATTTTCTCTTGGAGTCAGCACAATTGCCGTATTCTCAGGTGTAACTACCATGGCTTAGTTACGTGCTATGTTACATGATAGTTCAGGACAAGAATAAATATGCTAATATGCCAATATTGATCGTTACTCTTACGCTTATTCTCGTCGACAGATAGGTACTATGTCACATCAAGCCGGTAGCATCAGGGGCCAAAGACAAGGCTGAGTCTTCGAGTGAGCTGACCTAGTCGGTCCAGTCTACCCGGCCACCCTCCACTGGTGGCCATGTGAATGCGGGAACGTCATTATCGGTTCGCGAACCTCTGCGGGAGAGAGGCAAATTTTAAGGCTCTTTGTCCTTCTAGTCATCTATTTAGATTGTTGCGCAACTATCAACCCTCCAATCACTACAGATAGGACCCCCCTTGGAGATTGTTTCTGCTTGGTATCACTTGACTGGCAAGATTCCAATAATCTGCCGCGAACCCGAGTAGCTTTGAGTGATCTTTTTGTTCCGTCACGTTCGGACTTTATTCTACCACGTTTTTACGCCCGTGGCCGCCGTGTGGGCCTTATTTGTTGGCTACTCTAGACAAAGGACGGTTCCCTTCAACCTTCCAGATTCGTCTTGGTCTTTATTTCCTCGGCCATCGCCTTACGCGATAAATCCCTTAGGTGTTAGCATCTCGGCAACCCAAACTCAAGGTTGTCATTGATTCTTAGTTCTATACTGTACCAAGTATTTCATTGTTGTGGTGACTTTGCCCCAAGTTGGTCTAATGGGTGTCCAACCCGCAAATTCAATCCCTGTCGCGAAATGAGCCTCACTCATATTTTCAATTCTCTCATCAACTAAACCGTTCGCCGTATTTCTCACAATCGGCAAATATAGCAACAAGACATGATGTATCGGTCTAGAATATCTTGGTTGGCCTTTGCCATGAGATGGCTGGCTGTATCTGTCCATGGCCAGCTTTCGGGATGGATGGAGAATCAACAGAACGCAACTATGTGTCTATGGGACATGTTTCGCAGTAAGACTTCCTATCATGGCCCGATTTATCACAGATGATTAACACTTTATAGTTGCTACGCTCGGAGATACAGTTTATATAGATGGCGGTCAAATATACTGGATCGCAGGTCTTACAGATGGTTCAGTAATGGAAGTGTCAGATGGTAAGGCGTACTACAGTATATCCTGCTCAAGTACGTTTTATTCTAACTAATAATATCTAGATAATCGTCTAGGTCGAATCTACAAGCTCAACTTTAGTACACCTTTCAACACGAGCACGAATTTCTCTGAAATTCTTACCCATGACCCCATAGCAACGGGCCCTAATGGTGACGCTGCAAACAATTTAGCTCCTAATTATTACGGCGGAGCACTACTCGGCAATGACCATGAATTCTTCACGTATGGTGGCTTATTAAGGGAAACCAGTCAATCGCCTCCAGATGCCGACGCGTTGGTCGAATATGTGGCGTCGATATACGGAGCCGATAAGCCTAATTACAATACAGGTATCTATTATGGAGAGCTTCCCGAAGGCATAACTCGATATGTTACGAATGGAGGTGCAGTCAGTGCACCGTCTGAGAATAAGGCATGGTATTTTGGAGGATATCGCTCAGAATCTTTTGGTCCAATTTACAGCGCTGGCCCTAGTGAAAATGTCACAGCGACGAATACGTCAAATTACCTTATCACTCTAGATATGGCCACTCAAACACAAGAGACTTGGGATAATACGACTCTCGGCCAACATACTCCAAGCCGTGCGGACCCTTCCGTGGTCTGGGTTCCTGTTGGGGAGCAGGGCATTCTAGTAGTATTGGGTGGTGTTACATACCCCGGCTACCTAAACCCCAATATGATCTCTACGAATGAGGCGCAAAGTGTAAGCACACTCATTCACTCATTTAGGTTTCTAGAAATATCATCACTAACTTGCTTATAGAAAAAGGACAGCCCAGGCTTCATGAAGAATATTGACATTTATGACGTTGCGAGCAAAAAATGGTATCAACAGCCAGCCGAAGGTAGTCCACCCCAGCTTGCAAGGGGATGCGCGGTAGTTGCCCCTGCTGAAGACTATTCAAGCTTCAATATCTACTATTATGGAGGGTATGATGGTCTTGATGATGGAGGGCAGTTTTACGATGATGTATGGATACTGTCGCTACCGTCGTTCATGTGGATGAAGGTATATTCCGGCACGTCCGAACATGGTCGGGCTGGTCATCAATGCGTTATGCCGTACCCGGACCAGATGATAGTAATCGGAGGCCGCCGGGCAAACACAGGCTCTGGTCCTCCTTTATGCCTCGACGGCGAGAACCCTGGAATTCTTCAAGTTTATAACCTCACAGAAAATCAGTGGATGGATTCATACGACCCGACCAGCTGGAATTATTATGGGGTTCCTCAGATGATTCACGCTATGATAGGGGGTGACGCCTCCGGTGGTGCAACAGTGACTGCCCCGGGTCCCTCGGGCTGGGAAGATCCTGAACTTGGGAAAGTCTTCGCCACTGCGTATCCCACGTCAAAATTAGTTACGCACTACCCTTACAGCTCTGTAGGCGCCAGCAACGATTCTCGAGGTGCGTACGAGGGCAATGGAGGAGGAGGCACGCCTTCTTGGTTAGCACCTGTATTGGGTGTAGTCCTTGGCCTTGTATTTGTCACGGCAGTCGTTGTTGGCATTATCCTGTATAGGAGACGGAAATATTTGAAAAAGAATGACAGCGAGCCCTCGACTGATGAAAACGGCAACAGGATCTTATCCTGGGTACAAAGCCAGAGCAATGGCAAGGCACCAACGGTCACTACTGACGACACCCGCACCCAGTACGACGAGTTGGAAAGTCGAGGCATTACACCTGCGCGGTCACCGCCCCGGCCAGAAATGGGAATCGTCACTGAGATGCCAGCAACGTGTATTGTAGAGCTCCCGGGTAAGTTCCAACGCTCGCTATGATAGCTGATTTACCTACTAACTACTTTTACAGATACCTCACCCCCAGTTGAATTGGCGGGAGACACGTATGCTAATTTGGGCATGGCACCTATTATCGGGATGAACGAGAAATCTCCTCTCGCCTCAAACCCGCAAACTCCTCACATTCCCTATCCCATCTCTACGCCGACAAGCCAAACCGGACTTAACTCAACCCATGAGCTCTCCACAGGCGTTAGCTCCGCTCAACCCCCGAGCTACACCCCTCAACGACCCGACTCTCCGCCCCTGGGCAACAATGACGCCCGTTTTGATTCTATCGCTAACGCCATCACCACCGACGTCCCTACAACCATGATTCCGAATGCTAGTGCGCCTACAAACCGGAAACAAGTTGTTAGTGGTGTAAGCGGCATCAGTGACCGCGAGATATCACACCTCCGGCAAATCAGCGGCGCATCGACAGACAGCCAACTCACGACATCGGCGCCGCCGCCGCCACCAGCTTCATCGCACCATATCATCGAGTCGACCGCGGAAGCAAGTCCCGCTGTTAGCCCTCCGAGCGTTCCAGGTGTAGATGGGACCCCCGAAGCTTCCGACTACGTGAGCGTACCTCAGTCCACAGCGACACTAGGTACAGCCAATTCAGGGAGTCAATCGCGGCAGAGCGTATTCCACGAGAATAAGGATGACCTAAATGAAGGCGAGAAGCGGTGATGAGTCGAAAGAACGTACTCTACTCTACCTTCGGTTGGAATCGTGGCCAGAATACACGGCCTAGAAAGGCACACGATGAGTTTAGGGGTACAAGATTAATATCAAAAATCACGCATATGGGCGGGAAAAGGAGAAGGCGGAAAACGTGTTTTTTTTTTTCAATGAAGTTTGACTACGCTGCTCAACTATAGATACCACGGCATGGAGGGAAAGGACGGGATACGCCGGACTGGAGTAGGAGGTTTAGAGCCAATGCTCCGTATATAACTACCAGAAGATGTCCCTAAGTAGGGACTCGACATTGGCATATATCATCTTGGATATAGGATGACTATAGGTACCTACCTTACCCAAGACACACAAATGGAAGCAAGGGGATGGATGTATACGGGTTCCGATGTGGAAATCACGGAATGATGCATGACATGAATTTTTACAGTATAGTACAGTATAGTGGTTGACGGGTCGATCAGTCGCTAAATCGATATTTCTAATGATAAACGTTAATTCAGTTGATCAGTTCCTTCGTTTGAATTGCTATAAACTACAGGTTTGAGAATAGCTTTTTATTATTATTATCATTCTTGTACTAGTCAGCACTCCGCCTAAGAGTCTAACCTACCTAGGGCAAATGGACCAAACAAGTAGTATACCATACTTGGCCGTAGTTCAATACGTTCCTAGACTATACGTACACTAGGACCTATACCTAGACACTGTCCATTACAAAGTCGGATGCGGTTACTTCCATGCTGTCTAGTAGCCCCTTGCTAGAATATCCTTTCCTTAGGCCCGTAGGATTTGCCTTCCATCTGTTTGTCGATAGTCCGCATGATCCGCTCGATAGTCATAGCATGTCTTGGCTTCCACAGCAAACATTTGGCAAATACGAGTAGTAGTTCCGTAACCAAAGGCCGCACTCTACCGCACGCCTGGCCCTATTGCGACAAAGACTTAGGTATTCAAAACAGCCCCTTCGCTTTCTCGGTAGCTCGTATCGCCGCGTTCGCTTCTATGATCCAAGCATTATTAAAGCCGGCTGCTTTGTGCTCGCTTATTATTGCGAAAAACGTGGTCAATGGGTTTTCAACCCTTCTTTCGGCCAGGTTTCCCTCGAGCTCGTCCACGGGCGGCCCGACCCCTGGTAGCGGCGCTCCCTCTACTGGATCTAGTAGTTGGAGCAGCATCGGCTTCTTCCTTCTCGCTTTCCTCTTCGTCTCCCTCTTCTTCGCTCTCGTTGTCTTCGGCTTCCTCGTCGTCTTCCTCAGGTTCTTCTTCGACGTCTGGCTCCACACTCTCTGCCTTCGCCTTCGCAGCAGCTCGTTTCTGGCTCCTAGCACCTCTTGCAGTTGGCCGACCCGCAGGACTACTGGGGAACGGCGTCTCCTGATCGGTGTCATCGATGGTACTGGACCTTCGCGTTTTGGTCGTGGTGCTACCAGCGACGCTCGCCGCATCGGTCGTAGCATCGTGACCGCCTCCTCTCGTGCTGCCACGTTTGCGCTTCCTACTAGAAACCGCGTGCTTTTCGTGAGCTTCCGCTTCTGCATCTGACGGGGCCGACTCTTCACCAGGTCCGGCTGCCGCGCGAGCCCACATGAGATCATGAAAGTCATCCGCAGGTAGTTCGAAATAATTGTACTTCTGTTCAGGAGGCTCCTCGTCTTGGCCTTCGGTTTCGCCCTTAACGTAGTCGAAGGCGTTATCGCGCTCGTCTATGGCATCCATATTATAGAAAAGCCGTAGTTTGGCCCATATACATGGTATGCGCGTGTGCGTCTCGACGTCTGGATCGAACCCATGGTTACGAAGATGTTCCGAAATGGATATCATGCGAAAGTGTTTATGAATCCCTGTAGACAATTAGATCGCAACGTTAGAGTACGATCTACAATTGCGCTGCATGTGGCACGTACCCGATGGTTTCCAGCGAATAACTGCTTTAAATAGGGAAGATTCCTGATCGTCGGTCCAGAGGTTGTTGAGGATTTCAGATGGCGGAGGTAAATTTAAATTAGGCTTGGAAGCTGTAGGAGTATCGGCGGCGCGAGGAGTATCAGCAGCTTGCGGCGTGTCGACATCCATAGCATCGTCGTCGCGCGCGGGAGTTGAGGATGCTTTTGGCGTTGATACCTCTGCCAACCCACCGGCCTTGGACTTCCTTTTAGGAGGCATATTCGTCCTCTTAAAAAGTATTGGTACAGCAGTTCTTCTGGTGTAACTTTGTTTTAATATAATAAAGCTCCCAACAGGTAGGAAATATACCGTAAAGTCAATACTTAGAAAAGTGAAACTGTTGAGTTTGAGTAACTTTCGATAACCAGGGTCCAAGCTGTACATACGAAGTAGTAGGTACGTACATAAGTCTTGCGCTAAGACAATCTGTGGCTTAGAAGATCGCGGGGCAGGCGCGGCAGAAAGGCGTTAAAAAAGGTGGCGCATCCACCTTAAACCATAACTTAACACCATAATTTTTCGTAAACCGCTTATTTACAATTTTTAATAATACATTAATTATATAATATATATATTAAAAATTTTATAAATAAATAATAAATTAAATTAAATTTAATTATATAATTTTTTTAATTTTTAATTATATAAAACGATATTATAATATTTTTTTAAAATAAAATTAAAAATATTAATTTTAAAATTTTTTTATAAATTGTAATTAAAGATATAATTAATTATTTAAAAAAAATAAATTAATAAAATAAATATAATAATATTTAAAAATATTTATTTTATATATTTAACGTTAAAAAATTTATTAATTATTAAATTTTTAATATTAATTAATAAAATAAAAATATATTTAACTTTAATAATAATAATAATAACTTTAATTTTAATTTTAATTTTAAATAATTAAATAATAATTTTAAAATTATTAAAAATCTTAAAAATTATAAATAATAATTTTTAAAAATTAATATTAATTATATTATTAATTTTTTTAAATTAAATAATTAATTAAATAAATAAAATAATTGTTATTTAATTTAAAAAAGTTTTATAAATAATATTAATATAAATAAAATTATTAATAATAAAATAATACGTTATTATTTTAATAAATTAAATTATTATTTTTAAATTAAATAATAAAAAATAATTTTATTTAAAAAAAATATTTATTATTAAAAAAAAATAATTAATTATAAAATAAAAATAAATTATTAATAAAATTTTAAATAACGTTATTATATTATTTTTTTTAATAAAATTTATTTTAATTTTTTATCTTAAAAATTAAATTAAATAATTTATAAAATTAATAAAAAAAACGTTATATTTATTATTAATTATATTAATAAAAAATTTAATAAAAAACAATAATAAAAAAAAAAACAATTATATATTAAATTAAAGAAAAAAAAAATTATTTACGTTATAATTATTATAAATTAAAATTATATATTTCTTTTATATTAATATTATATAAATATTAATAATAATAATAAAATATTAATTAAAAAATATATTAAAATTTTTAAATTTTTATTATTTAATATTAAAAAATAATTTAAAAATAATTACGTTTTTTATTAAAATATTATTAATAAATAATCTTTATTAATTAACTTATATGTAAAATTATCCGATATAATAATAAAGTTTATTAATTTTAATTAACATTTATACACTTTTATAAAGTAATTAACCACGTAATTAATCTTTTTTTATATAATATTAAATATATTATTTTTAAAAATACCTTTACTTTTAAATACCGTTTTTTATATATAAACCTTATTTTTTTAATATTAATTAATAATTAATTAAATAATTATAAATAATTAAAAATTTTATTAAAAATAAATACACTCGTTTTTAAAGTATTTAAAATAAAAAAAGTTAAATATATTCGTTTTTAAAATATTTAAAATTATTTTAAGATTATTTAATTATAATAATTAATAAATAATTTTCGAACGTTATATATATTAAATATTATATAATAATAACTTACATTTATTACGTATAAAAAAATTCTTTTTTTAATACTTTTATTATTAATCGTTAACTTTATTTTTATATATTTTTATTACTTATTTAATTATTTAAAATAATAAAAATTATTACCGATTACATTAACTTTAAATATAAAAATAATTATATAAACTTTTTAAAACTTATAAAAGATTTTAAAAACGTTAAAAAAATATTAACGTTTATATTTATTAAAATTTTTAAATATTATAATAATACTTTATATAATAATTATTTTTAAAAAGTTTTTAAAAATAACTTTTAAAGTTAAATAATAAATTACTTTAAATTTATTAATATTAATTTTTTAAGTTTAATTTATACTTATTTTAAAGCTTATAAAATAACTTTTTTAAAAATTAAAAATAAAATATATTATTAAATTATATATAAGATTTTTATAATAAAAACTTAACTTTAATTTATTAAAAATAATATAAAAAGTTTAATAAAAATATTAATAAACTTTTATAATAAACGTAACTTTTACATCGTTAAAAAATTTAAATAATAATAAATTCTTTTATTATTAAATTTATTAATAATATATAAACATTATAATTAACCATTATTACGGCTTATATTTCCTACCCCATTATAATAATTACGTAATAACGTAAATTAAAAAAATTTAAAAAATAATATTAAATTTATAATATTTATTTAAATATTTATACTTTTTTAATAATAAACTTATTTTACTTTTTTATAATATAAAACCTTTAAAAAACTTTTAATAACTTAAACCATTATTTTATAACCGTAAAAATATTTAACTTAAAGCGTTTATATACTTTATTTAATTAAAATTAAATTTTTATAAAATAACGGATTTAAATATATTTTACTGTATTAATTAACCCTTGTAAATTTATTAACTTTTAAAACTTTAATTACTTTATTAAAGTTATATTATAATAATAAATAAAAATATAAAAATAAAAAATATAATAATTTTAATTAAAAATTATAAATATTTAATAATTTATATAACACCGCCGAGTTATTTTAAAAAAACTAAAATGCCGTTTATTTCATTATATTAAAAAGAAAAACGTTAAAATATTATTATAATTATCGGGATATAAAATAATCCGTACCGTACGGTTATATAAATGCATGTCTCGTATAAAACCGCATTTTTTTCGATCTTATAATTATACATTATTTTATATATAAAATTACCTTTAAATGTTATATTATTACTTTTTAACCTTAATTATACATATATATAATATATGTTAAATTTTATTTATTAATATTAATTAATAATTTTAAATTAAATTAATAATTAATAAAGTATTATTAAAAAAAAAACGCAATTTATCCGGGTAATTATATAATTATTATAATATTTAAAAACTTTAATAAAAAAAGGTAATTTTTATAACTTAAACGCTTTTTTATAAATGTTATAAATATAAAACTTATATTAAGTAATTTTACGTTAAAAAGTTAATAATGATAATTTTATTTATTATATTTAAGTTATTTAAAAATTAAGTTAAAAAATGTTAACGATAATGATTTTATTTATTATATTTAAACGTTTTAAAAACCTCGCGTTTATTATATAAGTTAATAATATTATTATATTATAATATTATAAGGTATAATAATAAATTTTAACGGTTATTATAATAATTATTTAAAAGAAGTAATTTTAATCTTTTATTTTTTTATTTAAAAATTTTTTTATATTTATTTAAACTTATTTAATTACCTTAAAAAAAGTATATAAATAAAACGTTTTTTTAACCCTTTTTTTTTTTACAACGTTATATTATATAAATATAACTATTTAACCTTTTTTTAAACATTTAATTATCTTTTAAATTATTTTATTATAATGGTTAAAACGATAACGTTTAAAGATTTTATTAATCCGGCTTTTAACGGGAAATATTATTATTTAACGAAAAAATCGTAAAATTATAACTTTTAAAATACGTGGGTTATTTAATATTTTAAAACGTACGAATAAATAAAGTTTATTAAAGAATTAAGTTTATTTAAAAAAATTAATAAATATAATAAAAATTTATAAAATAAGTTTAAAATAAAATTTTATAAATAAACGGTTACGTAATTTACTTTATTATTAAAATTATTTCGTAAATTTATAATTTAATATTTATATAATTATAACCTTTATTTTAATAATTATATTTATATTAATATCTTTATTAAAATCTTTAATAACTTTATATATCTTTAATTTTTTATCGATAAAACCTTTAAAAAAGTTATAAAATTACCGAATATATTTATTTTAAAAAATAACTTTTATTTTTAAAAATTATTAAATTATAAAAAAAAAGAGTGGAATAAACGAAAGGTTAAAATAATAAAAGAAATTATATTTAATAAATAATAATTAAATAAGTAAATTTAAAACGTATAAGTATAAACATATACGGTATAATATAAAATATTAATAATAACTTTAATTTAATTTTTAATTAAAAAAAAAAGTTATTAATATTAAAACATAAGATAATTTATATTATACGGTTATATAAATGCATGTTTTATACGAAATTACATTTTTTTTAATTTTACGATTATATATTATTTTATATATAAAATTACTTTTAAGTGTTATATCACCACTTTTTAACTTTAATCATATATATATATAATATGTGTTAAACTTTATTTATTAATAATAATAAATTAATTGTAAATAATAAACGTTAATATTTATTTAAAAAATTAATTTGTTTTATAAAAATATATTTTTATATGTTTAAAAGATAATAATTATACATATTAAAATAATTTAATATAAATATTTTTATAATATAAATAATTAATTTTAATAAAAATATTTTTAAATATTTTAAAATATTTATTTTAAAACG